GAACACAAGACAGAAGAAACCAGCCATGGAAACACACACACAAATGCTATTAAAATGCTTTTGGAACACTTTCAGAGTCTTAAAAAGTGAAGGCATTAACATTTATAAACTCTTAATGAGCATGTCTTACTTATTAGTACTTTGGTCTGATTGATTGTCACATCTTTCGGCAGCTTGGTGATGGAGGGAGCTAAGTAGGTACTGCTGTTCACTGTACAGATTTACCTCCCTTGATAATGGGTTTGAATCCCGATCCTCCAAGATTTTGATTCTAGCTTTGTCAGCACCGTGCCCATGCTGCTTGGTTTCACCAATGTGGTGAATGGCAGTCCTCTATCACTTTGGGCTTTACTCTGCCATCAAGCTGGTATATTTACACTGATATTACTGGAATTATCTTCCAAGAGTATCAAACCGTACTCACTCATGTCATTAGTCTACACATATGTTTGTAATAGTGAAGGTTTAAGAGCAGAATTGGTCCAATCATTGTCAGTTGAGACAGGAGGTGGGGTTTTGAAGTTTGCGTGATGCTTAGGTTGACTTGTGTGTCATTATAACCCAGATGTTGTGTTCATGCTATCATGAAGTAATAATTAATGATGAATTTTGTATAGTCACTGTCCAAGCTGAAGAATAAAAGCCACTGTGATTTTAACCTCTTGACTAAAGCCGAAGACAACATGGCATAATTACCTCTTTTCTATTAAGATTACCTTATTCTGGTCCATATACTAAGCTGAAAATGTGGGACTGCAGGGTAGAATATTGTTAATTCATTCTGTGGAGAGTAGGACCCCTTGGAAATTAGATGACCTCTGTTGGCATTGCTATAAACTTAGCAACCTGTAACAGCATAGCACTCCACTACATATATTAGAAAAGTCATTTCAGAAGCCTAGTGGTAAAAGTGTTGCTTACTACACCTGGTATTGATGCTTTCAAAGGATGCAGTTTCTGATGTCACTTGTAAATACCTTCTTTGAGAACAGCATGGATACGAGCAGCAGAAATCCTACTTATTTACCGACTGTATGATATATACTCTTAATCATGGTAAAGAGATGCCTGTGTCTGGAGTGCTCATCTCAAACCAAGGCATGGCAGTTACATCAAAATACACATACTGGAGATGACCAGGGATGGCTTAAATATGCCTGTGGGTATTTGCTAGCTGGCTGGCCAGTGCTGGTGACGACAGCTCCAGATGTTCCAGAGGACAAGATAGATGTCAGATACATTACAGGAACTTTTCGAATGCAACACAGTAATTGTATCACACAACATGTTTACTTTGAAATTCTGACTCCTTGATAATGTCTGCAAATATCATGTCCCCCTGCGCGGGAGGTGTAAACACGCTGCTTCTTAGCCTTGCTGCTCTTCCTGACTCGGATCTCATAAACTTCACAGAAGGAATCTGGGTGGGTTATCAATGTGCTCTTTGAAATTATGGTACACAGAATTGCAAATATCAGTGGTATTGTCAGTTCCAGGTTTGATGCATTTCATGGTTTTGCATTCTGTTGTTGATGTTGAAATATCAAAGGCTTGTTGTTGAAAAACATGATGTGTTTGGAAAAGATCACTTGATAGACATTTATTTCCAACTTTCACAGATTAGAGGAATTATTTTGGATCTGGTTCCAGTGGCATTATCAGCTTGTTGTTTCTTTTCTACTGGGGACAAGTTGCCAATATTATCAAATATTTGTGCGTGTTTTTTGTTTTCTTTTTTTGTCAGCAGTGACTGTTTATGTGAGTCACTTGGGGAACTGAGGTTATGTAGATACATCTGAAAGATTTTAATGGCTTAATGTTTTCAGACTTTGGACGCTAATGTATCATTGCACACAAACACACACATGCATGGGCACGCACGCATGCACACACATGCACGCGGGCACACGCACACACTAACACACACACTGCTTGGGTTTCAGTCACACAGTTTGTCCTCTCCAAGCCATTTCTCTGGCTATGTTTACCTTCTGTTTTCAAGATATGAATTTAAGTAATCATACATAATCGTAAGAAGTCTGTTTGCCTGATACAACAGGAAAATCTCCATAACAGTGAGTACCTTCTTAAAGTCCCTTCAGTACCATGTCAGGTACAATACAAATTATGAACTGTAGTCGTAAGAAGTTTGTTTGCCTGATACAACAGGAAAATCTCATAACAGTAGAAACCTTCATAAAGTCTGTCAGGTACAATACAAATTATGAACTGTAGTCAACATTTACTGATCAGCCTTTGCTTGCACTGCCATGATATTGCTGGAATATTGCTAAAAGCAGCGTAAAACTGAACTCACTCGCTCACTTTGCTTGCCTGACTGGCCTAGATGAGTACCCAAACTGACTCTCATGCATGTATCAGTTCATTAATTAGAAGACCTGATGACGTGTGAGAGGATGGGCTTACACAGAGTAACGTACAGTATGGACTCCAGGTGACATACAAGTGTTCTCCCTCAGGAAGCATGTGTAACACTATATTGCAGCCTGGCATCAGTCTTGCCTTCATCTCCTGGAACGTGGGTATCTTCAGTTTCAAGACAAGACACAGGGATAGAATTAACCCAGAAAGTCAACTTGCCTGAATACTTTGAACACAAACACTCCCCCAAAATACTTGAAATTCTACTAACCCTTTTGATGCTCTTTGCATTGAAAAAAACCCCTGGTCTGGGCTAGTTTCTATCCATTTCACAGTGACTGGTTGTTCAGAATTGCATGCTTCAGTGTTAATCATCAGGGATTTCTTCCAACATTGAGTTAACATGCCATTATAAAACTGAAAAGCTTGTAAACTAACAAAGCAACACATTATCCAACTATGAGTTTCTAGAAATCTTTACAATGAAATCTATCATGCAGAAGAAAGTTTAATGATTTGAACATAAAGCTTCCTCCAGTTTATGTTTCCATTCGAAAATGTTCATATACACATATTCAAGATGCACAAGAGAGATTTAGTGCTTTGAATCACATAGGTTTCCTTCAATACATTTTAACATTCATAGATGTTCATGTAGACATGATATTCATCATGCTGAAGGGGCTGAGTCTGGTGGTTAAAACATTTGTTCATCACACGGAAGGGGTATGCCACTTGCCACATAGGTAACATTTTTGAAACCCATTTCTGGTGTTTAGGCAGTGACTATTGCTGAAATATGCCATCTCTCTCACTCACTCACTCACTCACTCACCCTCACTCACTCACTCACTCACTCACTCACTCACCTTTGTTCACAGTGACCTGACAGAAGTGCTGCTTGTCCCACGTGGACAGATGTAGACAGGCTAGGCATCAGTGTTTTAGTACAGTATTACTATCGTTCGGATCTGGTTCTCATTTATTCCCTAATTATGATCACCTGGAGTTTGAGATGAACAACATTCGTCACCTATAAGCTCTGTGAGGCTAGCACCTCGCCCAGGAGCATTTTTAGTCCCCAAACCCCTTGATACTTTAGATAGCCTGCTTCCTCACCTGGGTTCCACAGACTCCTGTCATCCTACTAGTGGGTCTACACTGAATGAATTCCCTTAACTAATACCTCAGTATCTGTTTCTGTTTGGTAAAGGTGCCCAGGTACAAATTTCTGTTTGTTGTCTTTAACGAAATCCCTATGTTTTGTGGTTGGCCCTGTAATGAATCAGCCATGGTTTATTATCCTGAAAGAATGTGTCATAGCTGCTTCATAAAACCAAACATACAAACCATGGAATATTATGATTTTTTTTTGTAATAAGTGGATGAAAGTAAACAGTTCTTGACATGTGTGATTGTGCCACTTTTGGCAGGTCTGTCTAATGAAGGTTTTGTTTGTAGTTTTGATGAAGATAAACAATTATGAACACCATATTTCTTCTCTAAGATGCCAAGCCTCCAGTAGACATTGGACTCTAATTAATGCAAGGTCAAATGCTGTCCAAAAAACATGAAAGCCATGTCTCTAATAGTAGTAAGATATGCTGGGGATTAGTAATGGACGTTTCCTGCATATTTATACTTTGTAGAATTTGGGATTCGGAAGTTCGTAAGTTGTCACTATGTCTGCATTAAACAGAATAGATGCTGGGCCTCTTACAGACATCTGGGGCCCGTACCACAAAGCGATCGTAGCGCTAAGATGATCGTAACTCCCATACTTTAACCTAGACTTATGACTCGCGTAGCGCTACGATTGCTTTGTGAAACGGGCCCCTGGTTATTGTTTTTTGTTTTGTTTGTTTGTTGTTTAATGCCGCAGTGGGCAGTATTCCAGCTATAAGGCTCTGGGTGCCGTTGTTCAAAACAACCTTAGCGCGCTAAGACTACCTTAAGTCTATGTTAAGGTATGGGAGTTACGGTCACCTTAGCCCTAAGATCGCTTTGTACAACGGCACCCTGGTCTGTAAATAATCGAGTCTGGACCAGACAATCCAGCAATCAACGTAATCAGCATCGATTGGGATATGCTGACATGTGTGAACCCAATCCCATTAGTCACCTTTTACAACAAGTATTGGTTGTTGAAGACCAGTTCTAACCCATCTGGTTAATGTAGATAGAATTAAAAAGTAGATACCTGTCCGTCTAAATCAAGGTAATAGAGTAACTGCTGTGTCAGCATTATATGTATCCTGTTCTGTTCAGACAGACTTGAACAACAGGATCTTATAGTGTCAGTATGACCCCAAAACCATGTAAACAGCAAAATATAACATAAATGTTGTGTCCGTGAACGTGTGATGAGTCAGATTTCATGTTTAACATCCTTATGTCTTTTTGTGAAATATTCAACTGGGGATATTTTTCATTGTTACAGGAAGAAAACATGTCAGCTTTGAAGACGTCAACGATATTCAGTGAAATGTATTCTTACCCAAATATACTTGAAACGTGACTCTTGACCTTTGATTCAATCTTGAAAGCTGATTAATGGTTGTCTCCAATATTAGGGCATGTGAAAATAGAGATATTTAAAATGTTTTATTTATTTTCAGATTCAAGTAGCGGGGCAAGTTGGTCCCCCCTGTACGGGGGCAGGTCCAAACTTGACAAGGACGCTATCCAGATAATCCATTGCATCTATTGCAAGGACTGCCGAATGGAGAAACTGGCTGCTGAAAGAGCAAAACAAGCTGGGGCGGGGACATCTACGGACCAAGACCCACCCACACAATTACCTTCCAGCCCTCACACCTTGCTGGACGAGATCTCTCTTCAGCAGACCATGGATAAAAACAAAGAATGTAAGTCATTTACAAAACATGTGATATGACTGTTTTGGTTTTGCCCAGATGGTGATGTAGGATATGCTACATAAGTGAAGAATAACCCAATTCTTTAATAATACCGAGGGGTGGTAGGGTAGCCTAGCAGTTAAAGCATTTGCTTGTCACGCTAAGAACCAAGTTCTATTCCCCAAATGGGTACAATGTGTGAAGCTCTTTTCTGGTGTCGACTGCTGTGATATTGCTGGAATATTGCTAAAAGTGGCATGAAACCATACTCACTCATTCATAATACCGTAGTAATGCTGTCGTTAATCTGTCATGGCATGACAACTTTATAATAGTAATATGAAAGACAGGTGTCATGTTGGCTCTAGTTTTCTTCTTGTGAGAATACAGAGGCCCAGATAAGCTGTGTATCCGGGTAAAATAAGCATAGAATTACGCTTTGAAAAATAATTGTTGCGTACCAATTATGCATTTAAAATGTTAGATATCCAGAAAGTTTAAAACAAATGCGTACGAAATATATTTTTAAAAAATCGCTTGCGTAATGAAAAAAGACATTGATTGCTATCAAGTTGTACTGTTAGTATAGGACAAGTGTTGTACTGTCAGTATAGGATGAGTGATTTTTTATGACATCATTTCCATTATATTTAAGTTGGTTTTGATTAGGTATGACATAAGGCAGAACATACCTGCTTAGTAAACTTACTCAATGGCATATACTTAGGTGAGTAAAATGACTGAAATACGCACATATTTGAAAGCAGTGGGTAACGGAAAAAGAAATACCCACTCAACATTTTTAATACCCACTCCAAAAAAATACAGTGGGTACAGTACCCACATGAGCTAAATCTTATCTGGTGCTCTGAGAATATGTGTCTGAGAGATAGTCTTCCATAGTAATTTATCATACAATGGATAGTGTTCTCGGCAGGATAAGGCCAACGGATATTTTTGGTATCAGTTGGGGTCATATACGGATATCGATGCAAATTAGTGAGGTCATATGCAAATTTCAGGGACTACTTTCACAGCGTAAACAAACATGGCGTCAAGGGTCGGCGGTCGTGACCGGATTGACGGCCGTGGTTACGGTAGTGTCAGTGCTTTGATCCCAGAAAATTCATGCCTGGTTATGATAGATGGAGTATATTTCAAAGCGAAGATAGAAATTCATAGGCTTACGAAGATACCAACATCAGTTGCCCGACCGACTGTCAGTGTCAGCGAGAGAACGGCATGAATCCAGGTGCACAATGTCTCATGAACATTAAAGCGTATTTTGTTGTTAAAAAGGTTAATTGAAGGTTTCTGAAGTTCCACGCGAGTTTGTTGTTATTTTTCAAACGTAAGCAAACATTTGTTGACAACAATACGTGCTTTAGCAATAAAGCTTACTGGGAACTAGATGACCTAACGCAGTCAGCTGAGTGATCAGGAGAAAATTATGTCACCCGGGCTTGTGACGTAACATATTACTCCGCACATATTTGTGACGTCATAGACATTCCACGAAGTTTAGTTTCATGATTTGTTGCATTTGAAAACACTTTTTTTTTAAATTATAAAGCAAAAATGACGTATGATAAATAGGTTATCACACTCGTGTGTTTTGGGATGGTTAATATCCTGCAATAGGAATAAACACTATGTATTTAGCTTGCCAAGGCTTGCGAAATACAATGTTTATTCCTAATGCAGGATATTAACAATCCCAAAACACACTCGTATGATAACCTATATATACCAGCAAAATGGCAGCAAAACCTTGCCAATCCTGTTCAGGATAGTCCTTCTTATGGTGTACAAAAGTTGTTAGACTTTCATGCCTCGTGAATGATAATGGCAGCTCCTGCTTGTTAAGACCATCCCTCCTTGCCAGGGACTGTTGAGGCCCAGTGGGAAGTGTGTTTGTCAGACACTCACAAAGCCTGGGTTTGATTGGAAACATGGCTACAATATGTGAAACCCATTACTGGTGTTCCATGCTGTGGAATTACTGAAGCAAATTTTTGTACTCTTCTTGATCTCCCACTTCCTCACCCTGTTACTTGAGGGAGACAATGTGACAGTCAGGAGCTGACATTACCTACTGTGGGTTACATTTATTTTTTAGTAGATTGATAATAAATCATTAATACTGCGCAAGCCTCATACTTATACAAGTGTCGATTTATACAGAAACTACGCAGCACAGTTCCCCATAACAACTTCCCCGCCTATCTGCCTCAGGCAAGTAATGTGCTCCACAGAAAAGATGTTTTTAGGTTTTATTGAAAGGCTTAAAAGTTTTGAGATTATCTGATTTGTATGGAAGATTATTCTGCAGGTGATTGCCATTGTTACCGAAAGATTAGCTTAAAATATAGCCTTCTTTTATTTTCAAGATATTGAATTTGCTTGACATCTCTCTAAGTAATAATGGGGGCAGTGGGGTAGTCTAATGGTTAAAGCGTCCACACATCAAGCTGAAGACCTGAGTTCGATTCCCCACATGGGTACAAGGTGTGAAGCCCATTTTTCTGGTGTCCCCAGTCGTGATATTGCTGGAATATTGCTAAAAGTGGCGTAAAACCATACTCACTCACTCACACTTCTAAGTAATAATGATATAGGTTTTTATTGTTTTTTAAAACTTTGGTCTGTCATCTGTTTCAAGTGCTATTATAGAGCCTCAATGAAACCAAAACAGCTGAGCCAGCAATAAACGTTCTATATTTATCCAACCACAAGCTGATCGGTACATTGTTTTGTACCAAATATCTGTCATTCTCTTCATGTTTCCTCTGCCACTGAACTGGCTCCTACCGGTACGGAGACTGACTCCAATACTGACAAAAGTATGTGTCCTACACTACAGTCATTGAACATAGATATCAGTCAGGTAGCACTGTCTCAGACGTTTTTGCAGAATAGCAGAAATATTCACAGCTTTATTTGAGAACAAAGATTAGAAAACATTAGTCTGATGTTAAAACCGATCAAATATGTGTACTGCAATGTAGATTATAAACTCTCACCCTATGGTGATTCTTGGACGAATAAGACCACCTCCGTGGTGTAGTGGTTAGAGCGTCCACCCGGAGTGCGGAAGGTCGCGGGTTCAATCCCCGACCACATCATACCAAAAGACATTAAAATATGGAACTTGTTGGTCCCTGCCTGGCGCTCGGCATTAATGGGTACAACAAGGACTGGTCAGCTCGGAGTCAGTATAATGTGTCTGAGTGGGGTATTCCTGCTTCACTGCGGCATATCTCAGTGGGCTAGCACTATAAAACCAGCTTCATTCTGGGCTAGTACAAGCAGCCGCACATACACATACACACGCATGCACGTCGTCATATGAGCGAAATATTCTCAAGCATGACGTTAAACCCAATTTCACCTCACCTCACTTGGACGAATAAGACAAAAGCCATCTCATGCCAATTATCTACTGGTTGCAGTGTTGACCATTGGCCCATCAACCACTGGTTTTGTCTGGTTGAGACTGGATTATCTATGGACATTAACTGCTGTGTTTACAGCGCCATTTAAACATTCATTTACACCCTCCCTTGCTCTAATCTCCCAGAAAAGCATTCTAGATATCAGGTTGTAATAAAAACTCTGTCAGGAGTGGGAAAAAAATAATTTGATTTATTTAAACCTGAGCCGTCTTTCACCATAAGACTGATAATCATAGGAGTTCCACTGGGACATGATTCTGATGCTAATCTTATCATAATTACCAAGCTTTTTTTCATTTCTGAAAGTATTCTGTTTGTCAAATAGCTCCATTTTGTCTAACAAGCTTTATGAAGGTGAAAAAACCTGGCATGATGTTGTGTGGGTAGTAGGTTCCCCCTGAGTGGGTCGCTATCAGGTGACGAAATTCTAGCTGACCCTAGACAGGGGTGCTACACTCTATACTATCTCCTACCACCATTATCAGTGGCCCTTTCTCCTTCTGTCCACTGCTCCCCTTCAGTATCCAGTCTTGCCGTATCCTCACAGAAAGTGCCAACACAGCACCAACTTATGTTGTGTAGCAGTTAATTTGTACCTCTGTTCATTGGCAGCAAGGGAATCCTTCGGGATGCTCAGCCTACATAGATCTGTGGTTCTGGCTTGGTGCCAGCTGTATACTGAGGAATGCAGAACGAATGCATGAACAAGGAGGAGGGCTCGGTGCCAGGTTTTTTTCACTGAACACTTTACCAGATGGTGCTGCAAGTGTTTCACTGATCTAGTACCTGTGTGGATGGCCCAAGGTGAGATAGGGAACACTGCCAACTGATGATGAAATCACCGGCCTCTTCCTCATGGCTGGCCAGTTAGTCCGGTTCAGAACCACTGTCAACACACCAACACTCTTTTTGTCTGCTTACACCTGTTCGACTTAGTACATATGATTCTTTCAGACTGGAACTATTGCCAAGTCTGTGACCTTGTGTAAGAACATACTAATAGATTTGCCCTAGATATCCTGGCCTTGGAATACCACTTCCTGGAGCCCTCCTCATCTATGAGAACTGTTGCAGGATACAATGAAGTGTGAAATGGAAAGAAGTTCCTATCATATGCCCCTTTAGTCCACATAAATAGTATATTGCCCATGAATTACCTGTGATAATTGTGAAAGCAGCATGAATGGAGTCCAATTAAGTAAAAATGGAGGATCACTTTACCTTCAAAGAAATGTGAAATTTATGCTACGTTAGAAATACATGAGTATTTTGGGTACTGGTATCTAAACTCAAGATCAACTTTTTCATTAGGAAAGTGTTTTTAGATTTGATAGTCCAAGTTTTCGCAGCCGCCATATGAACTCATGACTCCTGGCCAGATAATAGGCTGCTGAAAGCTTTCATGTCTGATTCAGTGTGGGGTCAGATATCTTAATTGCAGAGATGTTGTTAGACATCATGCCTCATTAAACCAATTACTGCTGTTAGGAAACTACCCACTTCAGACTTCTCCAAGGCTGTCTGAGTGGTCATCAGCCTGCTCCATATACCAGAACACATTCTCGGTTCTGGTCATATCAAGTGAATGCTCATCTTGTACAAGTGTTCTGTCCCCAGAGCTTTTCCCTAATGCTTTCAAGATGGTTATGATGGCTAGAATTCCTCTCCTGTTCTGGACAAACAGGTCTGTCATGCCAAGATAAGGTTCTGTCATGCTAAGATAAGGTTTAGTCATGATATGCACTATCTGTCCTTGCCTGGATTGTCATGCCATGACTCCTGTCTGTTATCCTGAAATGGATCTGTTGCTACCTCGATAGGCTTATGTCATGCCATAAAGAAAATCTGATACTGCCATGGCACAGTTCTCTTGAACTGTGAATGTCACGCATTGGTGAAATCATTTCACTGTCATGGCATGGATCTGTTGAACCATGAATGTCATGAGGTGTTGAAAATGGTAACTACATCTGCCACTGATGTGTTTTAAAACATGTTTAATCATATCCCTGTATCATATATGGTTTGAGGATGCACACTTTCTCTGTTGTCTGAGGTCACACAATTTGTTGTGCAAAGTTGGATCCTATGAGCAGGCCAGAAACCTGAGATTGTGAGTTTGAATCCCAGTTTGCCCAAATTATGTTTCCAGGGTATTTAACCCTATATCCATGCTCATGGGTTTCACCAACGTACGGGGAGGTGGGGTAGCCTAGTGGTTAAAGCGTTGGCTCGTCATGCCGAAGACCCGGGTTCGAATCCCCACATGGGTACAATGTGTGAAGCCCATTTCTGGTGTCCCCCGCCGTGATGTTGCTGGAATATTGCTAAAAGCGGCGTAAAACCAAACTCAGTCAGTCAGTCCCCAACGTACATTACATCAGGCTCTCCTCTCACATCAAGCTGAAGTGCCATGATATAACCGGGATACTGTTCCAAGAAGCTTGTAACCCAGTTCTTTCACGGTCATATGGTTTGAATTGGCAGGGTATCTGCTGAAAGAGCCAATGAAAATGTTTTGATCAGTCTTGAGCATTTAGACTTATAGTCTAATAGTTTATCACAGCAGTAATGAGAACACTTGCAAAAAAACAGTCTTAGGACTTTCAAGAAAAAATGTTTCTTTGAATTAGAATGATTTAAGACAGATTTATTTCAGTAATAGGCAATAGTAGTTATAGAGCAATGTGTATTTATATAGGAGGCGAAATCTTTGGGTGATGAGAATGGTAGACAATTTGTACTTTAAGTAGCGCTAAGTATATCTGATGTATTGTGAAGTGAACTGTGTACAGTACAGTGTCTTGAGATTTGTACGACTCGTGAAGGTCCGGGTTAGAATATTGAATATTATCAGTAACCCATGCTTGTCGTAAGAGGCGATTAACAGGATTGGGTGGTCAGGCTTGCTGCCTTGGTTGACACATGTCATTGTATCCTGATCGATGCTCACTGGATTGTCTGTCCCGGATTTGATTATTTCAGACCGCCGCCATATAGCTGGAATATTGCTGAGTGCAGCGTAAAACTAATAAACTCACTCACTCACAGGCAGTGTGTAGAGATGTATACTATGTGTAGGGAAGTGTACAATACTGAGATGTGTAAGCTGTGTACAGACATGTGTACAGACAGATGTTGACATATGTCCAGGAGAACAGCCCGAGACTATGTGGGGAATGTATCTTCTCCTCCATGCTGCTGGGACTGACTCAGTTGTTGACTCTACTGGTAGGTAGTGACATAGCTCAGCTCCCCCAACAACAGCTGAGGAAACGGCTTGGAGGTGGTACAGCCTCCATCAAAAGATATGCCGGATATATAAGTGAATTAAGCCAGTGATTCAGGAGAGCCAATCAGCTGAGTTGAGTGATTGAGGCAGATGGACCCAGTATCTGGACCATCTTCCCCATGCCGCACTGTTATGCTAGATATGTACCACTCATCTCTGTATTAACCAACCCTGAGGCCTGACATAGCAGCTTGTCAAACAGATTACAATTAGAGGAAGACACATCTATCATGGCCAAGAAACTTGGACAATAGCATATCCTGTTCCCGGTTGGCCTATGTTGTTGTAATAAATTTAAAATATTTATCTTGTAACATCTTTAGAAATTAGAATCACTTCTCCCAAAGCAGACAATGCATTTAGTCATGCATTTTCATATTTTAATTGTGCCTACCCTTATGGCCGAGTGGATAGGGTCTGGCCATAGAGCAGAAGATCCAAGGTTTGATCACTATTGGCATTATACCGAAAGATGTTAAAACATGGTAATTGTTGTTTCCTTGCCTGGCTCTAGGAATGAAGAGGATAATTGTTGGGATAAAACAAAGGCTGGTTGGCTTGGACAGCGTGTGAACTTTTAGTAATGTTGTTTGTCAAACAGCCTCCAGTCATTTTTTGGTTACATTCAGGGGTACATATCGATACATATTGCACTGTTAGAGTCATAGTATGATATGTATCATGATACACAAAATGCTGTTTTTACCTGAAATTCTCCAGCTGATCGCATCTGTACATTGTTGAATGTTGTACAACCTGGTTGTGTTTAATGGTGTGATCATGAATGTCCATGAATACTCATTAGCGAGTTCAGTATGAAATCTGTGCCATCTGGAATAAAAGTAGGTTTCACACCTGTGGCCATTTCTCTTGCTTATGACAGCAGTCGTCATGCCCGATGCAGCCATCAGAATCAGACCATGGACATGAGCATCTGATTGGAAGTTGCATGAAATGAGGTTATTATTTCTACTTGTAATGTGAATAGTACCATGAATAACATATTCTTTTTATCTGTTTCAGCATTGAAAAGAAAGCTTATGTTACGGAGGTCGGTCAATGAACTGGTCGACAGGGGAATATATCCACGTAAGTTGATGTTCAATTTAGTTCTGACAATAATAAGGCCGTGTAGGTTACGAGGGGCTATCAAAAGGTTTTGAGCCTAAAATACTTCTGATATGTGCATGATAAAGATAACTGTATGATATTGAAGAATGGTTTATATCCATAAATGTAATATTGACATGCACGTGTTGCTAGTTTCCTGTCACATGACATCTAATCACATATACCCCTATTGAAACCGCTGAAATGGATAAGCTTGAGTACAGAGTAGTCATAAAGTGTTTGGTCCTTGAGGTCCTCGATTGACTGTATATACTGCCATATAGTTACAGAGGCTCTGTATATACTGCCCAATGCCATATAGTTCAGAGGCCCAGTGTCATATAGTTTCAGAGTCCCTGTATATACTGCCCAGTGCTATATAGATATAGAGGCCCTGTATATACTGCCCAGTGCCATATAGTTTCAGAGGCCCTGTATATACTGCCCAGTGCCATATAGTTACAGAGGCTCTGTATATACTGCACAATGCCATATAGTTCAGAGGCCCAGTGTCATATAGTTTCAGAGTCCCTGTATATACTGCCCAGTGCTATATAGATATAGAGGCCCTGTATATACTGCCCAGTGCCATATAGATACAGAGGCCCTGTATATACTGCCCAGTGCCATATAGATACAGAGGCCCTGTATATACTGCCCGGTGCCATATAGATACAGAGGCCCTGTATATACTGCCCGGTGCCATATAGATACAGAGGCCCTGTATATACTGCCCGGTGCCATATAGATACAGAGGCCCTGTATATACTGCCCAGTGCCATATAGATACAGAGGCCCTGTATATACTGCTCGGTGCCATATAGATACAGAGGCCCTGTATATACTGCCCGGTGCCATATAGATACAGAGGCCCTGTATATACTGCCCAGTGCCATATAGATACAGAGGCCCTGTATATACTGCCCGGTGCCATATAGATACAGAGGCCCTGTATAGACTGCCCGGTGCCATATAGATACAGAGGCCCTGTATAAACTGCCCAGTGTCTATAGATACAGAGGCCCTGTATATACTGCCCAGTGCCATATAGATACAGAGGCCCTGTATACACTGCCCAGTGTCTATAGATACAGAGGCCCTGTATATACTGCCCAGTGCCATATAGATACAGAGGCCCTGTATACACTGCCCAGTGTCTATAGATACAGAGGCCCTGTATATACTGCCCAGTGCCATATAGTTACAGAGGCATGGTATATACTGCCCAGTGTCTATAGATACAGAGGCATGGTATATACTGCCCAGTGCCATATAGATACAGAGGCATGGTATATACTGCTCAGCGTCTATAGATACAGAGGCATGGTATATACTGCTCAGCGTCTATAGATACAGAGGCCCTGTATAAACTGCCCAGTGTCTATAGATACAGAGGCATGGTATATACTGCCCAGTGCCATATAGTTCCAGGAATGAGGGAATTGTCTTCATGGCCACTGGCAGGAATGTAGACACATCACTCCATTTTCTACAGGGCAGCTGATGAGGACCAGGAATTCAGTGCAGCTTTGAACTCCAAGTGCTTGAGATGAAACGAAAACAGACATTAATTATCTAGGGACAGAAAAACACTGATTACAACCCTGAATGAGAGGCATGCAAGAGATAAGGATACTTATTATTGTGCTTCTTCTCAGCAGTGATGGGAAGCAGTATCTATATGTCAACACCTGTATAACCAGCCATATTGCAGGTCACCTGCACTTCAATAAACCCTCTTCTAATGCAAGGAGAAGCATTCAAGATAACATTTATCTTCTAGGTGATATTGAGATCTCAATTATAATGTGTGTCTTCAGCACTTTTTCTAAGATAAGGTTCAGCATCCCTTGAAGTTCAAGGCAGAATTGATTCCAAACGGTGTTAGAGATTTACGGGGATAAACGGGATACATACTAAGTCGGACATGATTTTACTGCAACTTATTTATTATATGATTTATTTTTTGAGTTCCATCACTGATCTGATACATCAGTTCAGAAGTGTTGTTTATTTATTGTTGCAGGTGGGGCAGATCTTTCTGTTTAATTTTCTTATGATTAGAAAGCTGTTTGTTTTGTGGGGAAAATACAGAGAGGGAAGTCCCCGGACCATGGAGAAGGTCTAAAAAAAATAATCTAACAGTAGTGTAGAATGACTTGACAAGTCCAGATTGGGGTGATATTACGTATTCTTCTCTGGGCTATGGGGGCTATGGGGTATATAAACTTTCAATTTAGTTATGACTTAAAAATAATATATTTGAAATTGTTTTTTTGTGTGCTGAAAGATTGTTTTTCAATTAGATTGATGATCGGGTTTAACTTGAATATTAGTTATTATTGGAGTGAGGCATGTTGTGCAGGGGCTGCATTGAGAGTGACCCTTAGCAATTACATGTTAAACAATGGCTATGATAAGTATCCCCCATACTGATTCCATGTTGTGTGAAGGTTATAATGAGAGTGTCTCATTTTAATTACTTGTTAGACAAAGACTGCAATGAGTGCCCCTATTTATTACCTTGTTTGAAGGCTACGATGAGTGCACTTATCGCATTGAACCCATGTTGTACAAAGGCGTTATGAACATTATACAAGGGCTACGATGAGATTGACCCATATTAATTATTTGAGTGAAAGCTTTGATATGAGTGTCCAGTTTGTTACTTTTTATATGAGAGTGATGCTTTCAAACTGAAGGTTGTACGAAGTCTATAATCAGAGTAACAGTATCGAGTTCCATGTCCAAAGGCTGTTGATGGCGTGGTGACTTACGCTGTACTTTGTGTTACAGCACTGAAAACCCCTCCTGCATACGCTGAACAGAGGAAGCAGTTGGAAAGGGCAAAGGTAAGCTTCAGCATTAATCAGGAAGCGTCCAACATGCACATACACACAAGCAGCTGATGAGGCGTGGGAGGATACACGCTGTCACCTACATTATCATGCGCTAGAACACTCTCTGAAGTCAAAGCTGCATTAAATACATTTATTGGTACTGCCAACTCAGCTTAGTGCAATGAAGCTTGAACCTGTCACCTTTATAGGAGGGGGGAGGGAATGGTGCCCATTAAGTTTTCAAGAGGCTTGTATGTTTGTATTGATACAGCTAGCAGGAAATTAGCATGGCACACGTCAAGGTGATAAGTATCTCATATCGTTCTTGAAACTAGACGGAAAAAATATTTATGGAAATGGAAACTCACTTACTTGAAATTCATTCCTTTAATCCCTTTCCTGACTACAGGAAAACATTACCATGGAAACAGACAGTTGCACAGGTGCTGTGATGAAATGCAGCTGCATTAACCCTTTATCCCTGCACTAGCTGACAGCATACTTTTCTGACTGCCACATGGGCATTGTCAGCACATGAAGTGTCAAGTCAGTGCACATAGACACGAACATGAACAGGTTGGGGTTGCAGTGTGGTCTTTATTCAGGGCTTCTAAGTGCTCGGTTGGAGACTGCAACATTCATGCCGTAAGATAAACAAACATGGAGAGCATTGAGGCCATGCCGGCAGATAGTAATGTGACCATCAGAGACAGGGCTACATCTACCTGCATCCCTGGTTTCTTCTTCACGGAACACAGAGTCAATGCTCTAAGATAAATAATCAGGTCTGCATTCTTTTAAACACACTTGTGGCATCAAATTTGCATCTGCTCTGATGAGGCCGTTTTGGATGGCACTGTACAGCTACTTGTATCATAGCCTGCGTTTGAAGGTGGTAGTCTGAGCCTGGCCCTCTCACAGCTGTATAATGTCAACACTGGTTGTTTTAACCAGGGATTCTTGTTTACTGCACTCAATGGAAAGATGGGCCCTAAATGTTGAATAATGTTCACGGGTGTTTGTTTATTGAGCTTGTCCATATTGCTTTGTGATGAGAGATAACTTTAATATCCTTGCTAGATCTGGTGGAATATGACTGATGTGATATCACAACAAATATGGCTACCTGTGAAAACATGGCTCATGCACAGGCAGCTACACAATACAAAGGCAAAGCCGGTTTGCCAGGATATGGCTCATCTTCTTCGTCTTCTGGTTTGCTATCACTGGCTATCATCATGGTACACACCTCCTGGTGGACTGCTTGTTGAGGGAGGCTTGTCCAGATGGCATTTACAAATGTTACTGACAAGAAATAACTCAGATCCCTGTACATGTCAGTGGGAGTCATTTTTCTGGCATACCGCAGCGAGGAAGGGACATAATGTATTGCATAATGATGTTTTCAGTCAAATTTGTTTGCTTCCATGAAACTGTTTATGTACAAGAAGTAATGGAGAAACCATGATAATCCAAGATTTTGATTCCAATGTGTCGATTTAATTCTTGATTCTTCTCTCACAATCATCAGATTTAAGCGATATCTTTGACTTATACTTTGTAAAAGTTAATGGTTTTTTCTCTATAATTTCCATAATTATCAATAGTTGTGTCAGTTTTGGTTGCTCAAAATTGTCAGGATGGTCAGTAAATACCTGGCTTAAAATGAACTTCAACTATGTGATCATATCTTCATTAGGAATTTGGGTCACGTGTTACTCTTCTCTTTCTTGACCTTGAGTAGTCAAAGTTTGAATATTTGTCTTGGAAGTTGTATGTTGTGTTCAGGGCGATGGGTAGCCTAATGGTTAAAGTGTTTGCTTGTCATGCCAAAGACCCGGCTTCATACTACAGTAAACTAAGTTAATAACTCAAAGGGTCCACTATGTTTGTAACATCAACGATTAGTCTGCCAAGACCTGGTTACATACAGGCTGCCATGATAGAGCTGGAATGTTCATGTTATTATTCCAAGAATGTCTTCTAAGATTACAAAATGCATGTTACTGGGAATGTGTCATGAAATTAGAGCATGTTTTTGCATCTTTAATCAATGGATACATGCTCATTAGCTTCATTTAAGCTGGTATTAATTTAGGAAGTGCATACACTCTTAACATATAATTGCATAATAGAGATAATTTGCAGATCATCCAGCATGTGAGTAAGGTAGACAGTCCCACCGGGGGTTGTAGTAATGGAGTTTACATACCAAGGCACTACCTCCTTAGGTTCACACACTTAATTAGGTGGCGTGACTTCTCTGTGTACACCAACCTTTAATAAATGGTCGCTCAGCCTTTGAAGTTCACGCACCCACCTTCCGTTTGCTCCTTCTTCGGACACTGTTTTTCAGGAGTGAGGAATAGCAGGAACTATTTGTTTGGAGATCTGGTGCCAGTCAATGATTTCAGTGATTACCCGGACAGTAGACTACCTGAACTGGAATCTCAACCTATCTGGGGATCTTTAAGTGTAACAGCTGGCCATATCTTGTTTATTTGTGGTCACAGATTATCTTGGTGAAATTACCATTCAGTGAGCTTTTGTAATTAAAGTGTATTTTTTCTTCAGAAAATGTGTTTATTGACAGTAAATGAGATAATAATTACCCTGTGTCAAGATAGACCCACTCTTTCTCTAAGTTAAAAATGATTTTATCAAAATCAAAGTAGACAAGAAATCTGTTTTTGAAAAATGTGATATACAAGTTATCATTATAATGTCATAAGGTGTTTCGAGAGGCGACCAACACACTCTCACAATTATGGTAATGCTTTTATAATTCAATTTCATGTTAGTGATCAGTGAAATTATGCAGCAGGCTGTTCCTGCAGTGAAAGTCAGAACTTCTGTCTGCGATGTTCTCCAGAACACACGGAACTATCGCTGCCATTATGTGGCATGCAAGTGGAAGATAACAAATTGTTTTTGGCATTAGTTCAGCATGTGCCAGAACTACAGACATTACTTTAAGTGAATGTAGAGATTCCCAACCATAATGCTACTTGACTTTGGTGAGGGTGAAAGGTGATGTATTAAATACATTTCCTGGTTCTACTCGAGATTGGCATTCTATACATACACACTTGTAGGTGAAAACATGGTCAATACTTTTAGGAGAGCAGAATAGTTGTCATAAGTAATGGATGGGCAATTCTGTCCATGTTTTTTTCATAGTGCAGACTTGATTTCAACATTCATTTACTTCCTTTTTGACCTGGATCTCCATATTGCCATGAAAATCTGAAAATTGTTGATTTAATGTTACTTTAGCATTCAAGCATGACTTTGGAAATTATTGAAATCTAATTAAGCTGTGGTTAATTAGAGGTAACTAATTACTTTCACATGCCTGCTTACCTGCCAACATTTAACTTTAACAAGATTGTTTTTCAAAACCCTGACTGCATTTTAAGGGTAGAAGGCAGTTTCAAATACTGATTAATCTTTGATTTTTTAAAACTCCAAAACCTTCAGAAAAATAGAAAATTGTTTTAATTTATGATTGGAATAACAGGAAACAGTGTTTTTAAATTTCCCCCTTTAAGAGTTTTTTTTATGCTATTAGTTTGTAAGTTAGAGTGACATAGAGAAAATGATTAGTTTCCCTAATGCTAAGTTTAATTGGTCTCTCACATGCTGGGCGGTGGGGTAGCCTAGTGGGTCAAGCATTAGCTCGTCATGCCAAAGAGATGGGTTCGATTCCCCACATGGGTACAATGTGTGAAGCCCTTTTCTGATGTCCCCCGCTGTGATATTGCTGGAATATTGCTAAAAGTGGTGTAAAATCATACTCACTCGCTCTCACATGCTTGTATTATGAGACGACTGGAGTTTGGATTCATGGTCACAATGACCTGGCTCATGACATTACTCTTCCCTGTGGATGTTGTCTTAGTTTGACTTTCCCAGACTTGACTATTTACAGACTGATATGAGTTGTGCTGTAGTCACTTACTCACTTTCACTGAGTGGGATGGTACAGTAGCCTAATGGTTAAAGCATTCAATTTGGGTTCAATTCCACACATGGGCACATTTTCTGGTGTCCCCGCTGTGATATTGCTGGAATATTGCTAAAAGCGGCATAAAACCTCACTCACTCACTCACTCACTCACTCACTCACTCACTCACTCACTCACTCACTCACTCACTCCACTCACTCACTCACTCTCACTCTCTCTCTCACTCACTCACTCACTCACTCACTCACTCACTCACTCACTCACTCACTCACTCACTCACTCCAACCAGTTATTTCTGCAACTAAATTTTGTAAACACAGTAGTCCTTCCAGGTATTGCAACCACAAAAAATCGTTCAAAGGATGTGTAGTATGTTCAGAACAAATAATATGCCTGTCTCACCCCAAGTGGGAGGACATGCTCCTATGGCATGCTGGTATGATGGTAGTTATGCATGAAAGTGGGGGCAGGTTTGCCAGGATTAGGTGCTGCACAGATTGACATTAACTGATAGTAGTTTCAAGGGTCAGTTATAGGTCATTGACCTTATAACCAGGCCATGAAGGGGAAAAGATGTTGAGAACACAGTGTAGAATTTATGTGTTTTGTTAATAAGAATGGATTTGTTTTTTAAGGAACTGAAGCCTGTTACCTTTTCTTACATGGTTTGTGACATTGAGCATTTTCCAACTCATTTCTCCTGAACCAAGTTAAAATCTATCCTAATGCTACTTTAGACATGTGTTTCATTAGCCTTGCAGTGTAGTTAAATATTTAAGTGTTTTGAAATGGTCTGGATGTTGCTATGGAGGTAATTCCAATCTGAAAAACATTGAAGTATTGGTGAAATGGTTTTATATCTGTGGTTCTCTGCTCACTGTCTAGCTGAGTGTTTTAACATGGTGGTGCATGTGGATCCAAATCTGGTACACACAAATTAGACCAGTGCTCTTGGACATGTGAGTCAGACCAGTGCTATAGGGCATGTGAATCAGACCAGTGCCCTACTAAATGTGAATCAGACCAGTGTCCTTTGGACATGTGAATCAGACCAGAGCTATAGGGCATGGGAATCAGACCAATACCCTACTAAATGTGAATCAGACCAGTGCCCTACTATACATGTGAATCAGACCAATGCACTAGGACATGGGAATCAGACCAATACCCTACTACATGTGATTCAGACCAGTGCCCTACTACATGTTAATCAGATGAAAGCCCAAGGACATGTGAAACGGATGAAAGCCCAAGGACATGTGAATCAGAGCTGTTGTACATCTATATCTATGCAGTGATCCAGTACCCTTGAATGTGCTCTTCAGACAAAATGGAAATCTTTCTGTGCAATATAAATATTTACATTTGTTAATGCATCATTCTTTTCTTTTTTCCTTGTTATTTTTTTACATAGGTTGAAAAACACCATTACATATTTTTGATGCAATGTAAATATACATGTAGTAAACCTAATACCTGATAGAAGTAAGCTTGGTATGATACCATCACAGTAGTAGGCTCATGTTCCGCAGCATTACACATATGCTGGAAACATGGACCCAAGGGCTCTCTGATGCCAAGATATGCTTTAACCCTCCCGATTTGTTTAGAAATTAGGTGCATGTTTATCCAAGAATAATTTTGAACGATCTGTATTTGTGTAGGCAGATGTTTTGCATTGCAAGAGCATGTGGTCATGAGTCGAACACTTAGATGACTTGACCTACCTCTTGAAGGAACTAAAGCAGTTCTTATGGAAGCACTTCTACGCTTGATTATCTAGACATAAACTGTCATATGAAGAGTCCAAATGAGATTGTGTGGAAGCGAAGAAGAATATCACTGCCATCTTGTAATGTTTCAGGATGGAACATTGTACACGTTGCTACCACTTGCATTTCAAATGTTTTTTTCAAGTGTCGGTTTCAAGTTTTTGATATTTATCTCTTGAATAGGGCTACACACCTGAAGAAGATTTTAAAATGCTTAATGTTGATGCCATGTGAGTTTGAAGTGTGTCTATGCTTGACATGGCTAACATGGTTTTGTGAAGCAGGCATGATCAATCCCATTGGAGTCCAGTGAGTAGTATCTCATCTGGAATGAGTGTTGTGGTACTTGTGAGATTGGATGGGACTTGCCCCGAGGGATGTCTCCCCCTCCCCTTGCCCTACAGCGGTGTATGTGTCTATGAAGTTACATCACGCCTAAAGCTGAAGCAGCTGATGCCATGTTGCTGTCAGGGTTAATTTTTCATACCGGCTAAATGTTCTGTGACTGACAGAAGTTGAATACAGATACTGATGTAATGGAGAATGTGAGGGCCAACTGTTGGAGCTCCCTGAGGCCAAGCTAACAGGCAGTCATGGTCTACCAGTGTTGCAGAGAGGGGCTGGTATCTCTGCCCCCCAGGTGTAACAACTATGCATCTCTGGTGGTTGCAGCAGTGGGTAGGGTGGATGTACTGTCAGAGGCGAGCTTGTATCACTGTCCCCAACTGTGCATCTCTGCTGGTTGCGGCAGTGGGTAGGGTGGATGTACTATCAGAGGCGAGCTTGTATCGCTGTCCCTAGGTGTAACAACTGTGCATCTCTGCTGGTTGCAGCAGTGGGTACCGGTAGTATTGATGTGCTATCGGAGCATAGCCTGTATCACTGTCCCCAGGTGTAGATCACTACTGGTTGCAGTAGAGGGTGAAGGTGATGTAGCTATGCTGCAGCATTGGAGAGGAGAGGAATCTTTGTCCTGGGTTTCAACAGTGCATCTTGTATATGCCTCTTGGCGCATTTCACTGTTTGTGTCACATTGATGCACACTCTCCTACCCAGAGTTCCACGCGGCAAGCCAGCATAGTACCTCTGCCACAGGCCAGAAAAATGTGACGATTCGTCACATCTTGCAATGTCCATTCAATATAATGAACAGATTTCTTTTACTCTTTTATTTTTGACGAGTCTACACATCTAACTAAACATCTTTAAAAGAATGGTTTAGTTTCACTGAGAAAATATCCAAAAACATGTAACACTATTTCGATTTGCATAGCGATCCTTTGTTTACATAGGTTGTATGGCTCCACGTGCTCATCGATGCCGACGGAGAGCAAACGATGCAGCCAGTTTGATATCTAAATATGTACTGTCATAGACCTAACTGTCGCAGTTAGAATATATATGTAACAATGTAAAACATTATGAAGAGAGCGCTGAAAAGCTTTCCTGAGTCCAGTCTCTTCTTATTATGAATATGCGCGTTTGATTACAAACAAGAGAAAAGTCCGGTCACGTGATATGCAAATTAGCCTGTGGCAGTGATGTTATGTTAAGTCATCGCTGTGCCGGAGTGTGATTGATGCAGAGGGTGCCTTGCTACCCATCGATGGTCTTATATCACTACCTGGGTGCCAACTGGGTAGACTGTCTCACTCCTCCTGACACCTACTAACACAGGCTTACAGTTACTGGTTTACTAGTCACAAGTTTTCAGCTGTGTCGGATTAATCTCTATGTTAAACCAATCAGGTTGTCTGTAACACAAGTAAACATGGCATACTAAATATGTCAACAGGTTTTTACAGAAATAAACTTGTAAAAAAGGTTTGTTGTAGCGGTCTTTTAAAAATCTTTCCCTTTCTGGAGAGTTGGGTAGTATTAGATATGGGTGGTTTTGTTTGTAGGGGTAGAGGTTATGTTAATGGGTAGGGATAGTGTGATAATAGGTAGAGGATTTGTGGTATTCGTGGGTCTGTGGTGTTGGGGCGGTGGGGTAGCCTAGTGGTAAAGGCTTTCGCTCGTCATGCCGAAGACCCGGGTTTAGTTCTCCACATGGGCACAATGTGTGAAGCCCATTTCTGGTGTACCCTGCTGTGATATTGCTGGAATATTGCTAAAAGCGGCTAAAAAATAAGCTCACTTACTCACTTACTGATTTGGTGTTAAGGTGGGATATGTGGTAGTGGTGGTATAGTATAGGGCGTGATGTGGCTCTGGATTGAGAATGATGTGTGAAGTGGGTAGGGAGGTGGATGGGGTGGTAGTTGGTGTTGGGTTCATTGAAATTGGTAAAGTGATTGGTACAAGGCCAAGCTTTTAAAACACTACTAAAATGCAAAGAGAATATGTGGGGTTACCATACAACACAAAAATAACACAACAGTGTCTGGTGAATTCCATCAAAGATGTGGAGAAAAACAGACAGGGACAAGTATAGAATCTATAATGATTGAATGTAAACAACATCAAACCAGTTATCACTAATTAAGTGTCAGCTTTATCTGAGTAATTAGTTCCAGGTTGTTGGCACACATACTATCTCCCCATGTCCCAGTGGGTGGCAGAACACTGCATGTGTAACACTTGTCCCTCCAGCGTGTATAGACTCAAGCTTACTCTCTCTTGTGATAGAAACAAGCAATTCCTTTTAAATTGAATAGGAGCCCCAGTGAGATGGGTGATTCCTGAGGAAATCTAGACTTGCTTCATTTAGGGCTTCAGCGTTGCAGAGAGGGCTTGGCAGAGGGGGAAATTATGTGGTTCAGGGACTGTGAGACAGACTACAGCGTATACAGCGTCTGCTCAGATTTTTCTTTAGTTGTACTCATGCATCTTTCTTAAAATATTTACGTCGTCATATGAGCGAAATATTCTCTAGCACGATGTTAAACCAAATTTCACATCACATCTTAAAATATTTAATTTAAATGAATTTAAACCCAAGAGTTATGAAACTCATTCTCAGTTGTTTTCAACATTGTTGTTTTAAGCTGATATATTTTGAACTCTGTGAACTAATGTTTTTGCAATTGTTATTTTCAGACTGGAGACCTATTAAAACACAAAATCCAGTCTCGCCCTGACCGACAGTTGCTTGTTCAACAACACATTCTAGAAGGTGGGTTCAGTCTTTCTCATATGTATATTATATCCTTGTTTTCACCTTTATCTCATATTTATTCAATTATTTGAAGACAATTTTGAGCTTTTCCAGAAGAAAATACTGGAAGAAATGTTACATGTTGTGTGTATTTCAAGTCAAAGAGTAAATGCAATGCCTCATGGACCAGATATAATTTAAAAGATTTTGTCATAGACCTCACTTAACAAAAGCAATCTTACGAATAAAACTTTTCTCATGATACACATTGACTTCTGATTGTCCCAGCGCTGAAGCTGTTGGTATTCTCATGCTTTGAGATACGTTCTAGATACAGTTTGTGTTATGGTGATAGCTGCAATGTTAGAATACTGCTGTGATTATGCTTAAACTTTAACAAATACTTACAGTAGTTAATTCTAAAACCGTGATCATGTTCGTGTATTTATATATACTTAGTATGGTGAAGATATGCCCATAATTTTATATGCTAAGCCAGTGACTTTTCTCACATTTTGGAATATGCTTTCAATATTCAGAATGTTAAAACTGTGATTGAAATTTTATCCATACATATACTGACTGTAGTTGGAATGTTAAGATTGATTATAGCCATACATTAACATACTTACGATAGCTGTAGTGTTAAGACTGATTAAAGGCACACATTAACATGTACTTACGATAGTCAGTAAGTTGAGATTGATTACAGCCATACATTAACATACTTACAATAGCTAGATGTTAAGACTGATTAAAGGCATACATTAACATACTTACGATTGTCAGTAAGTTGAGATTGATTATAGCCATACATTAACATACTTACGATAGCTGGAGTGTTAAGACTGATTGAAGGCATACATTAGCATGTACTTACGATAGTCAGAATGTTATGCCTGATTATGGTCTTATCATAAGATGGACTTGGTATAGTCATATTGTTAAAGTTATAGCCATACATTAACATATACTTACGTTAGTTGGAATGTTAGTTCTGATTGTAGCCCTACGATAGCGTATGTTTAGGATAGTCATAATGTTTATTAGATAGATAGATTAATAAGGTGGGTGGTATAATGGGTTTTTACATGGTCTTCAAGATTCTATCACTTACATATGACTTGCATGCATGTGTAGCTGCTTATGCTAGTTCAGACAAAGATCTTTTAATGCTAGCTCATTGAGACGCCATTCCAGCAGTCTGAAGTACATAACTCGTTGATACACAATATACAGATTCTGAACATCGACCAGTCAACGTTTAGTCCCCATAATGCTAAATGTCAGGTAGAGTCACAGCAAGTGCACTTTTTTGACGTGACCTTGAACCACTGACCCTTCTCTCTATGGGCAGACAACTCTACCCACCACAGAGTCAATTCTGTGATGATGGTTGTACTTGAATGCATGCTTATCATAAGAGACTGCCTTGTTAGGGCAGTGGTGGTCTGGTTCTGAGAGAATCAAACACATCAGTCACAGACTGTAGCTTCATCATTGTGGATAGATGAAGAATTTGGCTGGAACATCTAGAGGTATAACAATGTTGTAGGGCTTCCATCTTGGTGCACTGTAGTCAGTACTATTATCATACAACTATAAACTTGAATTGGATAAATGTGCACATGTCGTAACTTGAAAGATTTGGTGGGACAGCCTAGTGGTAAACCTGTTCGCTTGCCATGCTGAAAGTGCAGGTTTGCCTACATTGTTTCCAATGTGAGAGGCACATGTCATGCTTCCCCTGCAGCAACTGTCAGAGTAATATTGCTTGTTACTTGCTAGAGATGGCTTAAAACCAAACTCATTCTTTCTAATTCTGCATGATCATGCATGTGATGTGAATGGTACAGATTCACATTTATGCTTATAAGGACAGGGGATTAGTTTTACTAATTGTGTCGATAAACATTCCAAAAATTGTTGCAGTTAAATACGTAATTAATAGCCTATATGCTGTCTTCTATTGCATATATGCTTATTTGGATCATCTATTTTTGTGCAAGAAATTGTTAATTTTGGAAAAAATAAAAACATCTCAAAACTCAAAACACATGTTGACATGAAAGTATATGTCTTTAAGTATCTGTTTTTGCCTCTTGTATCCTTGGCGTATTGACCAAGAAAACACCAAAAACAAGAAATGTATACATGATGTCTTGAGATAAACATGTTGTTTCCAAAGCTGTACATTAACTCTATGTTTTTATTGCACGATATTGCTTGTTGTGTGGAATGACAGTTTGAAATTGACTTGCTGTTTAATGAAGCCCTTATTATTGCTTGTCATGAAGATGTAATCTCTTTATGAAATTCTAATGTCTTGTCATTTCACTTCTTGGAGATGATACTGTTTACTTCAAATTGTAATGACCTCTGATATTTTTAATGAACAGCTTTAGTCCACATTTTTCAAAGCAATCTTAGTGTTACAATTGTCATGAGTACGTTTGGTGTTCGAGAATCCTAGTGGTTAAAGCGTTAGCTCGTCATGCCGAGGCCCGGGTTCGATTCCCCACATGGGTACAATGTGTGAAGCCCATTATGTCCCCTGCATTGATATTGCTGGGATATTGCCAAAAGCGGCGTAAAACCATACTCACTCATCTTAACGTTCAGATTACTTTGTGGATGTAAGTAACCTATCTCATGATCAACTTAGCAAGTTACGATTGTCCTAGCACTAAGATTGCTGAGTGGAACATTGTCCTGGGCAGTATATGAATTATCTCAAATATAAAGCATGGCTAAAATGAATACGAAAAATATTTTCTTTAACAAAGAAAATTATTCATGAGTGCTCTGTTTGCATGTATTTTCATATTAACCATTCAACTCTAGTGAAAACCAAATAGTAAGCTCTGCTGTCAGTATTAGCTGGCATTCATTAACACATTTTGAGACAAAACAATTTCTAACAGCTTGTCTAAAAATTAAAACAAATATTTGCAAATTTTTTTGCACTCTCTAACTTATATTAATCAATAACTATTAACTATGTGAGAAATGCATTATTTTCTATTTTTCAAATTCCGTTTGAAAAATGAAATTTGAATGTTTTCTCCAATTTGGTTTTCATGTGTGGTATTTTACTAACTGGATTCCTTATTTTCCAGACACTAAAATTGACCCATCGTTGCATGAGAGACAGAGATTGCTTAAAAAAGCTCGTCTGACTGATGGCCTCAACACCAAACTTGCCAATCGACCAGGGCCATTGGAACTGGTAGAAGGGAACATATTGAAAACAAGCGAAGAGCTTGTGGAAGCCATTAAAGGTACCACAATCTAGGCTCCAAGCTTGCATAACATATAGCACATGTTTCTGACAAATACCACATACGTGGTTATGCTATTGAACGTGACGGAAACCTTCCCGAAATAATTCTTTTATGTTTACTCATCTTGATAGCTGATTTCATGGTCAGTTTTCAAAAATTTGGCTTTGTGATTCTGTTGAGAAAAAAGTTGTCTTGAGTAAGTGTTAGCCCAGGTGGAAAGGTTTACATTACATTTTGAGACAGTGCACGGACTTGCAGTCACAAATAAGGAAAGTGGTGGTGTGCATTTTGGTGTTCATTTGTTGGCTTGCTTTGCTCATTACATTGGTGGGTGTGAGTACTATACAGGGCCCCGTTTCACAAAGCTGTAGTAGTGATACGACTGTAGTAAGTCTATGTTACAGTATAGGAGGTACAACAATCGTATACCTACAATAGCTTTGTCAAACTGGGCCCTGAATCTCAGGGTTCTGATTGGACGCTGCCTATGATTATTTAGTTTCATTCTTCAACCAGTGAAACTGTAGTTTAAGCATCTTAACAGAACACGGTTGTTGATGGTTTTCCTGAAGATTAAGTGGAAGATGCCATTAGGTTAAATGTTATACAATTTGATCAGTTCTATACATTCTGTTGTCATGAATTGTTATTTATTTGTCTTGTGCGTGACCTTCGAATGTAGAAGTACGATATTGCAGCGCTTCACCACCAGGACATAAATATTCCTATTTTTGCAGATGTTTTCGCAATTTTTTATCAGCATTAGATTTGTTTTGTAACCCCTTCAGCGAATGTCTACAATTTCCAGATTCTGACACAAACTATAGGAAGCGGTAACATTTACCTATAATGTGATGCTGACATTTCCACTTTATAAAGTGCAAAAGAACACAACAAGAATAGCAGGTGCCATTAAAAAACAACAATAGGCAACCAGATCCAGTTTATGTGAGTTCTAGTTAAAGGATTATTTATTCAAGCACAGATAAGTAGCTTTATCAGACTGGATGGGCTCATCCATGTTGAGGGTCACACAGGCCATTTGGGAACAAGGAAAATACGAGATCGTATCCCACAGGTGCTATGGAGGATAATTGTTCAGTAGACACCTAATGGTGGATAACGATGTTGTGGCTTTGCCCAACTGGGCAAATGTTTCTGCACTTGGTTGGAATGGGGATGTGTAATTCTGTGTGTTACTGGAGTCAGTATCTTCATCTCCAACTGTTTCTATCCCCGGGTTCCGTACTTCTTACGTGTTTGTTGGTGATGACTCATGTGGTAAATCAGGGGATAATAATGAACACACACACTTGTCATACCTCTGAGATATAGGCTGTTTATTTGTGTAATTATACATCAAATGATGTGTATAATGGTTTGATGCAAAAAGGAATTCAGTTTATTTTGAACAAAACGTATCAGCCCAAAGAAAAATGTGTTTGTAAATGGTTCAGAGCTGTGATGATACTGTTGAAAGCAGTGTTAGAAAATAGCATGTTATCAAAACAGAGAGAAGTTTTATCATGGTATGTATGTTGGGTTGTGTGTGTTGGTGCATGAAGGTGACTGATGTGCTTGCTGTGGGCTGTAGACATATCAATAAGAAGGGAATCGGGACATGCCAGGGGGGATGAAGGCAACACATGGCAGGGTAGGCAACCTGGAGCTCAGGGGAGGTACTGTATGAAACATGGCAGGATAGGGAACTTTAGACATGTCAGAAGGGCTGAAGGCAACATGGCAGGATAGGGAACTTTAGACATGTCAGAAGGGCTGAAGGCAACATGGCAGGATAGGGAACTTTAGACATGTCAGAAGGGCTGAAGGCAACACAAGGCAGGATTGGGGGACAAAGACATTAGTTGATTTACTGTAGGCAACCTGGGCATGTCAAAAGGGTTGAAGACAACACTTGGCTGGGTAGGGAGCTTGGACCTTGGGGGAGCTACTGTATGCAACATGGCAGGGTAGGCAACCTGGTCATGTCAGAAGGGTTGAAGACAACACTTGGCAGGATTGGGGGACTTGGACCTTGGGGGAGCTACTGTATGCAACATGGCAGGGTAGGCAACCTGGTCATGTCAGAAGGGTTGAAGACAACACTTGGCAGGATTGGGGGACTTGGACCTTTGGGGAGCTACTGTATGCAACATGGCAGGGTAGGCAACCTGGTCATGTCAGAAGGGTTGAAGACAACACTTGGCAGGATTGGGGGACTTGGACCTTTGGGGAGTTACTGTATGCAACATGGCAGGGTAGGCAACCTGGTCATGTCAGAAGGGTTGAAGTCAACACTTGGCAGGATTGGGGAACATTAGTTTTGAGGTACCGTAGGGTAGGAAACATGGACATGTTTGCAAGAAGGGCTGAAGACAACACATTCCAGATAAGGAACCTGTCGGCTGTAGATAGTTGAAATTGTCAGGCATGTTTTCAAGTCAGATACAGTGAATTCCAGGCTGTTTATTTTGTTGTAATCTGTGATCAGCATCTCGTTGTCATGAGGCTTCCATTTATCCATGTCATGTATTGAGACCCCCATTAATTCCAGCCAAGGATACTCACCACCACTTACCATCACTCTCGTAGTTGTGACTGTTGAAGTGCCATCCCATGTGATGAAAAACAAGGAACTGATAGGGAGAGGCATTTCCAGATAAGATGGATTTTGTTACCAATTGTCGTTGGATTTTGTTTAGAGTCAACTTAAGGAGTTTATTCGGCTTCTGCATAAGAACACATCTGTGCACTCAACTTGTTGCTGTACATACCAAAGCCTGTGGTAGGGTTATCAGCAGGTTTCTGATATAATGGCTAGACTTACTGCAGAGGTTGTTAATGAGTAGATCATCTTTTCAATTTTGGAAGAGATAGGCTTGATGTTTATGTACTGCTAGCTATGGCAGGGAAAAACTGCTAACTATCTTTGAATTCTGCTGGAGCCTGTTATCAGAGTTGTAAAGATAATCTTATCTTTCCTGCCACACCAGTTTAATGTTTTGTCAGAATAAACCAGGTAACTGCATTCTTACAGGCCGACACAAGGCTAGATATTTCTTCTTTCAACACTCCAGAAATAGTTACGTTTTATGTAGAGTAATTCAATTTTCTTCAACTTTAGTATAATTTCAAAAGGCAATGATCATGAGAGAACATACAATTTTGATGTAGTTGAAATAGCCATTGGCTGCATGCCAAATTCCTGGCAGCCACTTGTCTTATCATGGCTGCATAATTGAAATACCTGTTTGTATTTATTAGATTGCAATTTTAGCTCATTATGTGGAGTTTATTATCTTACCATGCCAGCTTTATGAGTAACATCAGGTGTTCTACTTGTATTTTGACAGGTTTAGTAAGTCACACCCTCTTGATCAACCTAAGTTGAAAATTTGTTTTTTTTCTGTCTGTGATTTTAAAGAAAACAGTAATACTGTCCATATTCATCGTATACTATTGTATATTTCATCATAACCACTTGCATACATTGTATAGGTGTACATGTGATAAACATTTTAAACTCACGCTTGTCATCATGTTACAGATGGATCAATTGCCTTCAATAAGACACGGGAGAATGAGGATATCCTCATGCAGCCCCAGCACTTCTTGTTTGACGAAGAGAGCATCAGTGATGGAGCGCCATCGCCCCCTCAGGATGACTCCAGCTTCTCGGACATCAGCAGCCCCAATTCCATGCCCCCTCCCCCTCCTGAACTCCCGGTCTCCATGCAGAAGAGTCCGCCACCACCTCCTATCATCACCAAGGTTTCATCAAGTGTGTTGAGCAGCCACCCAGTTACATCACCCAAAAATGGGAATTCCAGCAGCAATGGCAACAATAAATCAAGACCAAAGAAATCCAAGCCAAAGACTGCACCTAAAGCTAAAGTTATCAAATTCCATGAGTACAAGGGTCCACCAAACGTTGTTAAGAACCAACAGAGTTCCCAACAGAACAACAACAATGAAACTCCTTACCATGTCATGCTGCAGCAGCAGCAGCTGTTCCTTCAATGGCAGCTTGAGTTCCAGCAGAAGAACCTGCCATTCCTCCTGCCATCACAGAAGCTGGGTGAAGGGCAGCTCCCTCCTGCCTCTGTTGGACTCCAGCCTCAAGGCAATCCCCCGAACAGCATGGTAGTCACAGCACCGATGGTGTCCACAGTTCCCAAGACTGAGACGACACAGGCTGTCATCCATGCTCCCACTGTCCTCCAAACACAGCAGCCACAACAGCCGCAGATTAAACAAGAAATTATTCAACAGCAAGCCTCCCCACAACCACCATCACCAGTTGTGCAATCCCATCCTCCTCCAAGTAGACATTCAAGCAGTAAATCAGCTGCCATCAATGCTGTGGCTGCCTCCCATCCAAAACTGACTGGAAACCTAGAGGAGTTAAAGGTTGCTGACCTAAAAGCAGAGCTGAAGAAGAGGAACTTGCCTGTGTCTGGTTCTCAAACCACAGCTCATTGAGAGGTTAAAACCATACACAGAAGTAGCCCCAGTGGCCGTCTCTCCTGCTCCAGTTGCAGTGAGCCCGGCCAATTCACCAAAACCAACTGTGACAATATCTCTACAGAGTCCAACTCCTCAGGACACAAATGTGGTTTCACCGCCACCCATACAGACTGTGAATGCCATTCTAAGTGTACAGTCAGTAACATCCAATGATGAAGCTAGTATTAACAACTCTCCACCGACCTCACCATCAATGATGGAAAGTGTCCTAACTCCACTGTCTCCTGATTCAATGGAAGTGTCCACTGCTGGTGTGACATTAAGCCAGTTAAAAAATCATAATTCGGTACCTATGTCCGTGGACCACCAGTCACGACCACCATCAGTGGTGTCAGCAATGTCCACTGAGGTGGCAATGGATGTGGACCAGGTACCAGGTGAATCTGGTCAGAGTATTAACACTATTACCACTCTCAGTCCTGCAGTTCAAATGCAGATCCAACAGGCACAGCTTCAGCAGCTGCAGAAAACCCAAGTACAGCTTCAGCAACTGCAGCAGCTTCAACAGCTGCAGCAGATACAGCAGGCTCAGTGCCCGGCTCAGGCTCAGCAGCAGGTGACCCAAGAGGACATCCTGAGACAGCAGCAGAAGCATATAGAGGAACTGCAGAGGCAGCTCCAGGAGTCACAGATCCGACTCCAGCTGCAACAGCTGCAACAGGCCCATCTCCAACATCAGAATCAGCAGCTGCTGCAACAGTCCGTGGTACAGTCTACTGCTGCTTCACCAATGATGAACACCATTCAGATCAGCATAGCTGGCAACAACAAGCCTCCTCAGCTGCAGACCACTGCAGCCAAACCCATTCATATTCCAGCTCAACTGCTGCAGAATGCACAGACCATCCAGACTACCAGCAATCAGGCTGTTCCTGCTGTCATTGTTACCAATAGTGCTGAGAAGAAGCATGTTATACCGGACTTTCTTAAGACTTCTTTAAATGAAAGTCTGAACATGGGTACGAATAAGCCCAAAGCGTCTGTTGCTACTGCACCTGCCTGTGTTCAGCAACCCTTTATCTTCACTGCTTCTCCAGTTAAATCATCTAGTGCTGCTGTGCCTCCTAACGGGGTAACTCACACAAGGTGAGTGGGTCATCTCGGACAGGAATTGTGTACTGACCAGGGTGTGGTTTTTGTAATTTAATGCTGTGCTTCAGATATATACTACTCACACTTTGCTAAGGATCACAAGAATTTGCAACTTTACTTAAACATACATTTATAATTTGAAATTGTATCCATTTAAAACTGGATAAATATTGATCTTTAAGAAAACAGTCACTTTAAGCTAACCTTATGCACTTGATACATGTGTAACCATAAAAATGGTTTTCATGGCAACCCATTTTGCAAATCATGGCACAGGTCATCGACAAGTACACAACACCTGTCAATAGCAGGTATGGGATCCACAAGATGCAGTGACATACTGAAAACTTGGATCCATGTTTACAATAGGCTTAGATATATAAACCAAATTTGACCCCACATCATAGTTTTCTGCTGAATCAATGATTTGATCCTTAGCAAAGTGTGAATAGTATAGATGATTCTGGATCAGACTCCAGTGATTGATGTTAGGATAACGATTTAGTCTGTGCAAAAAGCTTTTGAGACTACTAGTCAGATATACTTCTATGAACTCTTATAACTGAGCTTATTTGACCACTTAGATTATAACTAGTCTCTTGCCACAGACTAGTGATGATCTACATTGTCAGGGAATGATTGTCAACCAACCATCAACCTTGCCTGATTACCTGACCCATTAAGCCATCTCTTGTAAGCAGCATGGGTTTCTGGGAACTTAATCTACTGTGTACCAGGGGTGTAATCGTATAGAGCAGTCATGTTGTAATATGACAATTCGTGCAGATTAAACATTTGGTCTTTACAGTATCTAATCCCAATGGGTATTCTTTGGCAAAAGAGTTCCTTTGCAAGCCATGTGTGTTTTATGAGATGAGTAAGGAGGATCTGATGGTTACAATGTGTGATCTGACTGATTGTGTGTCATTCCCTGAACGCATAGAAGGCATGTTTGCCAGGTCAAAACTTACAGGTCACTGTGATATAACCTGGAATATTGCCCATCGTGTTATAAAATAACGGTCAATTGCTCTATGCTGGAATACAAGGTCTGAAGGAAATGATTGCCCCATTTTGGTGCTCGTTCTGGATGTTTATTCATTAAAACAATTGGTATTTTGTTCAAATCTGGAATTTCTTATTTTCTTAAATTCAGGGATGTTTAAAATATTGTATTAAGTGCAATAGTATCCATCTAGGCAATAAAACCTCTTCCTTTTGGTCCTCTTTTGAGTGAAATACCGGTTAATTCTTCAAAGCCATGAAGTTACTTGTTATACATGAGTTGGATATTTAAAATTTTAATTGAGTTTTTGGTGCAGACTTTGGGACAAAAATCGGGTTCTTTACAGTTCTAGGTCCTGTTTAGGCCAGGTTGTTTTATCTTTGTGTGTTGATTCCTCAGCATTGCTGGTCGCAACTCCCTGCCCAGCTCTCCACTGGATGGCCAGAAGGTGATCACTAGGAGTGCTTCCAACCCGTTCTTCTCTCTCCCCATGAAGGAGCCTCCCAAGTACGATGATGCCATCAAACAAATGCATAATCAACCACAGGTATGTACAGTCATTATGATTGGACCAGTTGGAGTTTCTGGATTCGTTTATGTTGATAACATTTAGCTGCCTCCTGGTTTTCTACATATGCTGAACAAAAATGTTAGGGGATACATCAGTATTTGGGGGGATGTTTTGTGCTCAAGTCTTCCCTACAAAATAAGACCCCTTACATTATTCTTGGTTTCTTACAGTTTTGTTTAAGTATAACAAATTCTTGTTTCAACCATTTTGAGATTATCAAAATATAAAGTAGGTAATAATATACCGACGCCAAGGTTATATTATTTGCCTTGTATGAATGTATAAATGGGAGATTCTTTTGTGTGGTAAGATCAAATCTTAACAAGCTGTCAATCTGCCTTTTTGTAGTCTAATGCTGCGATATCCCATTCTGACCGTGGATCATCTCCGAACCCACCTGACCCAACAACAGTGTCACACAAGAGTCCTATGATGGACGATGTTCTAGAGATTCTTATAAGGCATGGAGGTAGGTCAATGCAGCTGTGTTCTCAAGAAGTTACTTTTGGGTTTTGCTGATAGCAGACTTTTACAGGATGCAGAAATGTCCCTCCAGTACATGGAATAGATATCGAAAAGCTCCAGTACATGGAATAGATATCAAAAAGATATAAAAGGTATATTGTGTCCTGACATCTTAAAGTTCTCAGGACGGTGGGGTAGCCTAATGGTTAAAGTGTTCACTTGGCCCGCTGAAGATGAGGGTTCGATACCCCACATGGGATACCGCCTCTGTGGTGTTGTGGTTAGAGTGTCCGCCCGGAGAGCGGAAGGTTGAGGGTTCGATCCCCGACCGCGTCATACCTAAAGACGTAAAAATATGGTACTTGTTGGTCCCTGACTGGCGCTCGGCATTAATGGGTAAAACAAGGACTGGTCAGCTCGGAGTCAGTATAATGTGTCTGAGTTGGGTATTCATGCTTAACTGCTGCATGGTATCTCAGTGAGCTAGTACTATAAAACCAGTTTAAGTCTGGGCTAGTACAAGCAGCCGCACATACACACGCATGCACGTCGTCATATGATCGAAATATTCTTAAGTACGATGTTGAACCCCATTTTACCTCACCTCACCAACATGGGAACAATGTGTGAAGCCCATTTCTGGTTTCAACCACCATGATATTGCTGGAATATTGCAGAAAGCGACGTAAAACCAAACTCACTCACACAAAGTTCACTACACTACAATATGTATTTTGTTGTGAAGAACACTTGAAATTAGGAATTGGGATCTCATTCAATCACATTACGAATGTTGTTGAGTTTCTAATTATTTGTACCGTTATTGTCGCGATTGTTCCAGATCTGCCTCCAAGTGCAGCTACAGAACCCCTGTCAACACCGAAGACCACGGAGGCCATGACACTGCCCAGTGTAACATCATCTCCCTCTACGTCTCTCCCAGTCAACTCAGCACAGAGCTCCGGTGGGTTGATGTTCTCTAAAGGAGACGCCATCATGTCAAACACTGCCACAAGCACTGTGACTGTCAACTCCTTGGGGTCTGCCTATGATGCGCCGATTTGCGTGATAAGGAACATTAAGAAAGAAGCACCTGATTTTGTTACTCCGGTTGTTGTGACTTCCCCTCTGCCCCCCTGCCCAGCAGACACTAACACAGAACTGCTTGATCTCACAGAAATGTTGTCTGCTGGCGAATTAGGGGGAATGGATTGGACAAGTGACCATAATTTCTCTGGTCTGGATTTGACAGACCCAACACCGGTCTCTCTGGACACCAGGTTGACCAATAGTGACGCCGGTCTCCTCAGTGTGCCTACTAGTTGTGCTCAAAAAACAGGCAGCACTCACGGATCTGAGCCCGACTTGGCGTCTCTGGGACTGAATGACAATGATGGTAACAGCAACATGCAGATAGACGTTTCAGATTGGCTGGATGTTATTGTCCCGAGCACTGGGCTGACTCCGCTCAGCACCAATGCCCCAGTATCATTCTCATCCGACCCTATCCTAACTCCCAAGACACAACAAGAAGTGTTAGACCTGTTTAACTTTGACGAAGCAGACTTCAGCACTCCTACAGATTCTCACTGTGGTTTGAACTGGGAGAAACTGGCAGAACCAAGCTCAAGTTAGTGGTCATATGTGCTGCTGCTGCTGCTGTTGATGTGAACGCTGATGCCAGCCCGAGGGCTGCTGTGACCAGATAATGCCGATGACTTCTATTGGACCAAGTGCCTCCTCAGCACGTAGGTGGACTGCCCGACTGACAAGCTAGAGCCAGTACACCTCAAGTGTAGGATGCGTCTAGATCTAGACTGCCCAGTGACTAGGAACTGCCAAAAGATGATGTTTGTGATATCGGCTCTCACTGTGTGTTGTAGGGCTGCTACAGCTGATAGTCTTCACACTCTTGTACCACATGTATTACAAATCTACTTCCTAACAGGTTTTGTATATGCCTCTTATGGTTGCCTATGGTTTACTAAAACACAGTGTGTCCCTTATGTACTTCTGACTTTGTGGCAGTTTGGTTCACTGTTTATTGGGTCCATCAAAACGGAATGTTGTTATTTTTTCGTATTTTGCATATATCTGTGCTGTAGACACGTTCGTTCATCGTGAGCAGTGGTTGTCACGGAAATTGTGTCGTACTCGTCATTCAGTCAGTCATCTGCCTCTGTAACTAAGCATTCCATTCGTACGTCACTCTCCCTCTGTGTCAACTGACATGCACAAAGTAGAAGTGAGGGCTGGACAATGTCACTGTCATCAACCTTGAGGGGACCATGTAGGAAGAATCACACTAAGCTTTATCACACAGACAGGAGGGCCTTGATATGGCAGCAACACTGGTTCAGATTTCATTAAGAGTTGGTCTGCCATCACCTCATTTAAAGCATTATGCAAAACCAATAATGGTGAAGGAGAATTTGAAGCACATACTTCTCATAGCTTCTTTTTTCTTATATCATGTACATCTCATTGAGTCCAAGACTCCAAGCATTTCTGTCTGTGGTTTTGATACCCATCACAGTTTATAGCAATAGTACTACCTGTTTGGTGTAAGTCAATTGATCATTTCCATAAAAGCCATTTCGTCACAGCATTAATTCGTTCCAAGATGCTGGTTTGTAGATAAATCCAGATTATGTTCATGTTGTCAGATATCCCACCATACTTATCAAATTAAATTATAAAGTTAGAACTCTTATGAAATATTTGACAATAATTTTAGCATAGTAAATCTACAAGATTCTAAGTGAAGACTTGTCATATGATGAATATAGTCACATTGCTCCTTCCCTCTTCCCCCATACATTCCTCAAATGGACTCTTCTACCACTGTTAGGCAGATGCCTTTAAGGGGAGTTAGGGGTGTTACCAGTACACTATATCCATCATCGGTGCAATTCTAACATTCCCCAACCAGTATTGTCACCAGCTGCAACATCTTCTACTTTGTGCATCATCCATCATAGCATCCATTGTCACGAAAGTGGTAGAATCTACACTACTGTACCAGTTCGTCATGCATGTCATCTTCACAATGCCTTGTAAGCTCTACGTCACGTCAGATCACCCATTCACAACTCACTGGAATCTTAATATGTTCGTGACCAGTCAGTGCTCAAAACTATCAATTCCATATAAATTAACTTTTTCTGGTCTTATTTTCTTTATCAGTATTTTTCCACCTTTATGGCTTTGGCCTAAAAATGTAATACTGGTACTAATATAGAGATTGTATACTATATTCAGTCATATCAGTCAATGATCAATATATGTGGCATAACATCAGACTATGAATAATGACCTGAGATAAACTATGATATATAAAGTCTGAACTTCAGAAATTATTGTGATTATGATCTTTTCAGAAAGTCGAGTTATTTCGTGAATTTTTATATTTCATCTTTTGGGAGAAAGAAAATATATTGTGAGGATAAATGTTACTTTTGGGTTTGACTGTCACAGATCATTCGTCTTATTCCCTGTTGCTGTGATAAACAGATGTGTGGTTGTTACTGTCCTCCAGCCTCTACTATGTAGTACTGGCTAGTGATGTTATGCCATGTAAGACCTTGTTGTCTAGGTAGTATACTACTCAAAACAAGTTAAAGAAACCGTACATCAAGAAAAATATCATACCATGTCTGTATTTATCCTCCATTGCTGTGACCAAGGTGCTACAGACAGCTCAATGGTATGGTCACTTTGATGTGTAAAGCTATATAATGCTCGTCCCTGTTGCTGTTGCAGCGGTATATCTGTTTAATTATACTATACCGTATGTAGAGCAGATTGAAAGGCTGTCATAAGGACCGTTTGTTCTAATTTCGAAATAATTTTCGTCACAAACCACAGAAAAGTCTGGTTATGATATAAGCCATAGTGTAGTCACTAGAGAAATAACATGGGTGAAGTATTGTAAGCTCAGGGGTTATTGGCTACTGTTTACAAACATTGTTTCAGAACAGTCCATGTACTCTCCTTTTCTAGAACATGAGATTAATGCAGATTTTGACCATAGTTATATGCAATGGTTACGGGATATTGTATCACACACCACTTGTGAGTGTTCTTTAACTTGTGTTGAGTAGTATACAATGATATTGTCCTACATCTGTTACTATGTGTAGCAGGTTAAGACTGTGTAATACATGATCATACAGTGTAATACATGATCATACAATGTAATACATGATCACACAATGTAATACATGATCATACAGTGTACTACAGGTTACTAGTGCTCAGAAGGCTCAGTACGTATATGGACATTGTTGTAGTGTATCAGTGTATATGAACTGTACTGACGCCACCTGCTGACATCAGTCGGACCTTCATGTGTTCTGGTGTTACTATGGTAACTAGGGTATGTTCAGTGATCAGACATGGCCGGAGTGCTACCTTTGTGTCGGTGTTTCTCCTTCATTGGTTACAATGACTACCTATCATGGACCCCCTTGCCATTCATACTGGCATCTTGTGCACATCTGTGACTGTGAACACTTTGTGTCAATGTACGGTGAAAACTCTGGAGCTGATGCCATTCAAACAGGAACAAAGTTGATGTTGGCTGATGTAGAAGTACCTACACTAGATATATTCTGTCAATCAGAAAGCCAACCTGTTTAAGTGAGTGCTAGTAAATTGGTGCATGTTATTGAATTCATGGGAAATTCAGACCATCTCACCCATCACCTTGACCTTGAAGGTCACAAGGGAGATAACTCAAGACTGGAGGTATACAAGCACCATTGTGAAATAGTTCTGTGATATAAGCTTTTGGTGAACAGTTGTTACGTAACGCAATGGGTTCGTAAGGTAACAGTGAACGATCTGTTGTGTAGCAGTCACTAGTTATTGTCTGAGGTGCCTCCAGAAGACTTTGAGAAGCCCCAGTGAAAACCAGCAACTGTAGAGATACGCCCGGCGGGACAAGTCCGGGAGAAACATGTCCTGATGTGATTCAGTATGCAGAAGTCCTCTCTCATTTAGCTGTATGTGTCAAATGAGTTGATTTTGTATGGTGTATTTTTTCATTGTAATTATTTATTGTGATTGATGAGTATATTCGGTTGTATAAACCTTTATTAATTGATAACTTTTGCATGACTTCTTGAGCGAGATATGTCTGTACATTATGTGTGTGGTTTGAGCTGAGTTTGGTTGTACCCATGACATACTAAAACCTTCATTATTCTCTGGTCTGTCATCCTTCATTCAACATTGTTGTCTGTCTGTAGTAGTTCTGTCTAGTATAGTCTTAGTTGCTGAAAGCCGTCCACTACGTCACTGATGAGACAGACATCGACCAAACGTTTCTTAAACATTATCGTTAGCTCACTTCACAAAGTGCATTGTCATTACTTGTGATAAAGTCAGCCATCGAAAAGCGTGTACATTTGTACCTTGCTGTTGCTGAACTTTCAGTCTAAGGGACCGTTCATTATTTATGGCAAGGGGAGTAGATGATGATTTTGTGGAGAAGCATGTACAATGTGAATGAACCCCCCTAAGATTTATGTATAAAGTAAGTGACACCAACTCCCCACCCCCAAACCCCACCCCATTGTCATGTACAAAATCAATATATCACCCCGCCAACCCCCTTTCCCATAATACTAAGCATATTTTTTCAACATTCATATGTATAAAATTGCTGAACCTAACCACCCCAGTATATGTGTACAAAATTGATGCCCTTACGCCCTTAGAATCATCATCACCCCCTAGCCATAAATTATGAACGGTCCCTAATCCAGTCATACCTGTGATCTGCAAGATCGACCTTTTGACATTAAACATCATACAGTGATCTGCAAGACCACTGACCTCTTGGCGTCATATCAGTCATACCCTTGACCCAGCTTGATCGTCAAATTGAGTGGGTCAGTAGCATAATGTTAGGCCTGGCTTGCAAGTCTTTCATTGTTACGGGAAAGTTTCCCACGCAGAAATCTACTTAAATAATGTGTCCTTGAATATTGTTCAGGTAGCAGTTCCACACAGCATTCACTCTCATTACCACAGAGGTTATCTACAAGAATAACTGGTATTTGTTAGTTCTATTGGACATGATTGATTGTATTTCGCTTGCATTCTACTCTTACAAGATACTTTCCTGTGTGACTGCATCCTTGATTATCCAGTATTATGTCTCCCTAATATAAGTATGAATACCGTGGACCATGATGCTACAAATTGATGTCCAAATCGCTTGCAAAATGTTGGGGTGATGGTGAAAGTATTGAAAGTGTTCACTCGTCACACCCAAGACCCGGGTTCGATTCCTCACATGGGTACAATGTGTGAAGCCCATTTCCGGTGTACCTTACCATGTTATTGCTGGAATATTGCTAAAATGGCGTAAAACCCAACTCACTCCAAAACGTTCTTAGGTTATAAATGAGTCCAAGGTATTTATTACAATAGAATGGAGATATACTATCCTGGATAACACGGGTGTGACAGTCAAGCCTTCATTTCCTCATGATCACCCAACTTCCATTTTAGAGATTATGTTAACTCTACATACAGTCAAACATGGTTATGTCAAAGTTGAAGGGATATTTGTGAATATTTTGTCTTATGCCACGTTTGACACGATCAGTGAAGAAGGAATATGCAGGAATGAAGCTTGTATTTTTATGGTTTATATAGTTTGACACATCAAAGTTTGGCACAATGATGTTTGACTGTATGTATGTAATTCCTTGTTCATACTGATAATGTGATTTTCAGTGTTTCATCCTCACTTGCAAACCATTGCTGTGTTCAGCTAGAATCTCATATCCTCCATTCTGTCTACCTCTTTAAACTGTCTCCTTCGACACCAACTCACAGTTCTGCTTACCAGTTCAACCATTGGTTTATTTTGGAACTGATTAAAATAGGATACATCTTTCCACTTTTGCAACTATCTGTTATAGCTGAAGGTCAGTTAATATTGGTAAATTTATAATTGAATATTTGAAACAGTCTTTTCTGTGAAGGAGCATTAAAGTCATTCTCTGTTCATTTACATCGCGTTGTTCAAGATGGTTGATCAAGATGTCCCTATGCCTGACTCAGTCATTACTCTGTGTGCAGACTGTTATCACACTCTTACTTATGTGATACAGATATAACCACATGGACGTATTCCATCTGATGTCACCTGACAGCAGTGACACACAGCTTGCCAGTCCTTCTTGAAGGTAGAACACTTCACAAACACAGATTCAATCCAGGTCACCATTATACGAATTGGTCTTAGCGCTAAGGTGATCGACTGTCCTAGCGCTAGCCTAGCTAAGGTTGTTTTGCACAGTGGCACCAGCACCAGTATGATATACAGTGTAAACCATTACTCATTCCATCAAGGTGAGGTGACCTTGATCCCCTTCCTGACCTTCTTGTAGCGCCCTCTAGGTTTATGTTGTTTTACATTCCACAAAACATCGTCAAATATGGAATATTTTCCTAAGTTATCAATATTCTCACCCAAGAATAACCCTACAGAATCAATTAATATATAAACATTGTAGTGTGTATTAGAAGTTATAAACATCTGTATAATTCTGACATTATTTATCAATGGTTCTTATGTCCTTCATGCTGTTTCCCTTTGCTCTCACAGCACTGTATGTATAGATATATGTATGACAACATGGACACAACAAGGAGTTGCTCCAGTGTCCTAGGGTTTCACATTGTAATGGAAGACGTACATGATCTAGCATGGCTGTATCACAAAACATTAGGAGACTAACTGTGCGAGTCTGTGTTCTATCAGTCATAGCACTAGGATTGCATTGTGAATGTGGTGGATGAATAGTCCACTGGTTGAAGCATTCAATCAGCACGTCGAAGACACAGGTTTGATTCATCACATGGGCACAATGTTTGAAGCCCATTTCTCGTCCCCCACTTTGATATTGCTAAACGTGGTGTAGAACCTTACCCACTCACTCATTGTGAAATGGATATGAGGTGTGAAAACAATGCAGTTCTAGTGCTGTGATTCGTGAACACTGAAGCACCGTGTTTTCTTTGAATGTTCGGACAAGACTTTGCAAGCCAATTTGCATGAAATTTAAAATTCAGTTTTCATTTTGTCTGCAGGGCATTTTGGTGTTTGCTGTTGAGGAGTATTTTGTTTTAGATATTTAGAGCAAGCACATACTAGTACGTGTTATCAAAAATGTTTGAAATTTCAACATTGGAGTATCTCTGACCAGTTGTCAAGTCTTTGTTTATCTGTCAGTGTTAGTGCTATTTATCCTGCATGACGTAGACAGTGCTTTTGTTGATATGTGGTTGTGTGTTGACATCTGTCAGTACCTTGCGCTCACAGTTGGACTCCATACAATCAAAACTCTCTTTATGATATGGTGCTATTATCCAACCTTCTCTTGTAGCTGTGGTCATGTGTTTCATTGGATCAAAGTAAGCTTATTTCACTGTACAGTACTGCATCATAATGTCACATTGTGATCATTCAGTAATGCAACATTGCATCACGCTGTGATGATACAGCTTTTAGCTTATACCAGTGAATATGTGATAATACAAGACTAGCCTTATATGCACTATATACAGAATAATCCAAACGTGATGAAATAATGGTAACATTTCCCTCATAATCAAACAAGTATTTTCTCTCAATGGGAAGACTTAGATAATTCTGATTAGAGAAAATAATTATTGGTGTTGTGGATGAGTTAAATTAAGTGGGGTGATCATGTCGATTTGTGCATTGAAAGCCCCCGGTTGGTTGAATGTGGCTGCCTGATATTCCTCCCTGTTCATATGGCTCAGGTCTACAACACCAGTATTATTAACCCTACATTTTGTAGACTAGTTAGGTTAGGGTTAACCAAGGCTGTAGTGCTGCACTCTGTTGTCACTTGTTATATGACTTGCACATTATATATGCAGCCTCTTCCAGTCTCGCCTTTCCTATGCCAACACGCCATTGTTGAATTTTAAAGTTTGGTTTTTCGATACTGACTTGTTATTGTATCTAGGATGATAAAAATATTTTGTGAACAAAATTAGATATTTTTGATTGTTGAAAATGAGTGTTTTAGTGATGCACCTTCTTTGCAATTTGGCCAATTTTGTATCACCAAAGTATGTTGGGTCTCGTTTGTGACACTGTTTCTAGATGAGATGTTGAGATCGTTCTAATGTCAAGTGTGTTATTTCAATCAAGTCCATACCCAGTCAGTCTGTTTGAAGGCCTGTCAGCTTTTGTCATCTGCTATTTAGACTTTCGAAGATGCCAGGTAAACTCTTGTATTTCATTTTATGGTTGCCCAACACAAAATATTGCTGTGATATGACAGGATAACTGTTTAAAGTGGCATTAAAAATATTCTTTCAAAACAAAATAGTTTTCATACAGTAACAAATGTGCTTAGAATTATTTTGGAGCATGAACATGAACAAGAAAATTGTAAAATTTGTATTTTCAGAATCGGCATCAGTTATTTCCTTCTCAATGAAAACTGTTGAGATCTAGAATTGTTTTTTACTTAATTTTTTTTTTTACTTTTACGTATACAAAATTTAAGATCTTGACTCAAAAGAATGAGTCTTGAGTCTGGCCTGATCCTTTGAATTTTAAGGTAGACTAAATGTTTAATTTAGCCAATAGTCCTTGATATATAACTGAATGACATTTTTAGATTAGTTGTTAGATTTTTAGGTGCTAGTTGAGAAGTTGAGTGGAACAAAAAATGTTTTACAATATTTGACTACATGTGTAACTCTCCATAATTAGTGATATTAGACTGGAAACAAAATAGGGCAATTTTCTGTTGCAATGACTGGAACAGCATCCATTTCATAGATTAAACGTGTAGTAATTCATAACATAAGTTTCTTTCAAATACTGCAGTATGTTCACAGAACTACTAGACATTCACCATTGTGTTTCATGAACAACCACTAAATAGTTCACAAATGTGTTGTCATTGGACATTTAACATAAGATCAACCTAATTCGTTATCATAATTCATTCATTATCACCTCATACAAAAACTAAGATTCTTAAATCTATTTTGTGTATTTTGATACTGTTAAGCCCTTGGGATTAGTATTAGCTATTTGAAGAGCACCTGTAGCTGCTGTGTACTGCTGTTCATCACCACACTGGCTGTGTCTGTCTGTCTGCCTGTCTGTCTGTCTGCAGTTGTCATCTTCATGAGACTGGGCGACAGCCAGCACATGCCTTTCCTCAGACTGTTTGTGTGACTTGTACATATGTTAACAGTGCAGTTGGCTTTGTATATGCATCCAGATGTGAACACTATCTAGACCTTATGAAATAAATGCTTGGTATGAAGTACTGGAGTTGTGTTGGATATGTTGTTTCTGGTTTAGGAATTGTGCTGTACATTCAGCTGCATCGTGGACAGGGAGTGTTTATTGCAGGTCACAAGGTTTTCATCACATACACAAGGCGGTGTCTTGACCATAACAAGGGTTACTGGATCTGTATATCATGGCTTGGCCATCGGATGGTGTCTTGACCATTAAGGCTACTGGACCTTCACATTGTGGCTTGACCATCAGATGGTGTCTTGACCATTAAGGCTACTGGACCTTCACATTGTGGCTTGACCATCAGATGGTGTCTTGACCATTAAGGCAACTGGACCTTCATATCATGGCTTGGCCATCAGATGGTGTCTTGACCATTAAGGCTACTGGACCTTCACATTGTGGCTTGACCATCAGATGGTGTCTTGATTATAAAGGCTACTGGACCTTCACATTGTGGCTTGACCATCAGATGGTGTCTTGACAATTACGAGGGTTACTGGGTGTTTATATCATGGCTTGGCCATCAGATGGTGTCTTGACCATAAGGGCTAATAGACCTTCACATTATGGCTTGACCATCAGATGGTGTCTTGACAATAACACGGGTTACTCGACTTTCACATTGCAGAGATGCCAACCCATACTATCGTATTCATTACGAAAAAACAACACAAACTACTCGACTACTACGATAACAGTAAAAATATACAAATTTTATAAAAACACATTAAATTTCGACCACATATTCAGTATCAAGTTATATGTAGATACTGACTACTGATTTAGGTGCATACAGTGTTAATTACAAGAATACCTAATATTTCTTTATTAAATATGAAAATTCTTTTGAAAAGTTAATACTAATTTTGGTCCAAAATATACTAATTATTGCATCAGTTTTTGGCCAAACTACTAACTGGGCTAAATTAGGGTTGGCATCTCTGACATTGTGGCTTGGCCATCAGATGGTGTCTTGACTATTAAGGCTACTTGACCTTCACATTGTGGCTTGACCATCAGATGGTATCTTGACTATTAAGGCTACTGGACCTTCACATTGTGGTTTGACCATCAGATGGTATCTTGACTATTAAGGCTACTGGACCTCCACATTGTGGCTTGACCATCAGATGGTGTCTTGACTAGTAAGGCTACTGGACCTTCACATTGCAGCTTGACCATCAGATGGTATCTTGACTATTAAGGCTACTGGACCTTCACATTGTGGCTTGACCATCAGATGGTGTCTTGACTAGTAAGGCTACTGGACCTCCAATTGTGGCTTGGCCATCAGATGGTGTCTTGACTAGTAAGGCTACTGGACCTTCACATTGCGGCTTGACCATCAGATGGTGTCTTGATTATAAAGAGGGTTACTAGACCTTCACATTGCGGCTTGACCATCAGATGGTGTCTTGACCACAAAGGCTACTGAACCTTCACACATTGTGGCTTGACCATCAGATAGTGTCGTGATCATAAAGACTGCTGGACCTTCACATTGTGGCTTGACCATCAGATGGTGTCTTGACTAGTAAGGCTACTGGACCTTCACATTGCGGCTTGACCATCAGATGGTGTCTTGACCATAAGGGCTACCTGACCTTCACATTGCGGCTTGACCATCAGATGGTGTCTTGATTATAAAGAGGGTTACTAGACCTTCACATTGTGGCTTGACCATCAGATGGTGTCTTGACCACAAAGGCTACTGAACCTTCACACATTGTGGCTTGACCATCAGATAGTGTCTTGATCATAAAGACTGCTGGACCTTCACATTGTGGCTTGACCATCAGATGGTGTCTTGACCATAAGGGCTACTAGACCTACACATTGTGGCTTGACCATCAGATGGTGTCTTGATGATAAAGGCTATTGAACCTTCACATTGTGGCTTGATGATTAGATGGTTTCTTGACCATAAAGACTGCTGGACCTACACATTGTGGCTTGACCATCAGAGGGTGTCTTGACCATAAGGGCTACCTGACCTTCACATTGTGGCTTGACCATCAGATGGTGTCTTGATTATAAAGGCTACTGGACCTACACATTGTGACTTGACCATCAGATGGTGTCTTGATTACAAAGGCTACTGGACCTTCACATTGTGGCTTGACCATCAGATGGTGTCGACCACAAAGGCTACTGAACCTTCACATTGTGGCTTGACCATCAGATGGTGTGTTGATTATAAAGGCTACTGGACCTTCACATTGTGGCTTGACCATCAGATTGTGTCGACCACAAAGGCTACTGAACCTTCATATTGTGGCTTGACCATCAGATGGTGTCTTGACCATTACGAGGGTTAATAGACCTTCACATTGTGGCTTGACCATCAGACGGTGTCTTGACCATAAAGGCTACTGGACCTTCACATTGTGGCTTGACCATCAGATGGTGTCTTGATCATAAAGACTGCTGGACCTTCACATTGTGGCTTGACCATCAGATGGTGTCTTGACCATAAAGGCTACTGGACCTTGACACATTGTGGCTTGACCATCAGATGGTGCCTTGACCATAACATAGGTTGCTCGACTTCGGCTTTCACAGCTGCTTGTCACAAGAAACGACCAAATGAATCAGATGGTCAACCTCAGACAGTGTGTATCTTTGTTCACAATGTCAAAGAAACAAATAACCTGTGATATTACTGTTACATGACCAGCAGCAGAGCTGTCCGTTACATTAACAGATGGGTACCTACACCATGAGATACGTCTGACACAATGTGCCGACAATATGGAGGTATGAAGTGTGTGTAGTATCTTATATGTCTGGGTAATGTCTAGATGTCCAGATGGTAGGGTCAGGTCTGCATATGACTTCAAGCTAAGTTGTTACTAAGTCAGTTTAGTTACATCCCATGCTGATGCAAATGCAAGCGCTGATGCATAAGTCCGAAGCCTCGCATAAGACTAGACTAACAGTGAAATCCTTAGTTGCAGAAATTAATTACATAAACAATCATGAAGTAGAAAAAAATTGTTTCGCTATGACAAGTTAATAAAATAAACATGTGTCTGTGACCTTAGGAAATGGACAATCATGATGATCACACAAGGATCACGTTCTGGCAGAACCAAAGGCCCCCCATGGACAAATGAGTGCTGTCGAAGGATGTCTCTTTATATGCTACTGTAAGGGGATTAGCATGAGAGTTTAAGCCTGGCAATGGCGCCATGAAATTGACCCCTGTCCTGGAAGACCTGTCACGTAAGCAACACCAGAAGTGATCAAGACAATTTACTAAATGGAATGACGGACCGGCGAATGACCGTCACATTGCTGGTATAGCATTCATTTCCCAGGAGAGACTACACGTCCTTATCACAGAAACCCTGGCAATGAAGAAGAATCAGCTTGATGGGTTCCAAAACTGACATCTGATCGAAAACGCACCAGGCGCAAGAGATAGTCTACCTCTGTTTGAAGCAGGGCCAGAAAGATTCCTCACTATGGGTAAAATCTGGTTTCACCTGAGTTCCTCATATGTTGACTTAGAACTTATCAATCAACACTCGTACCTTCACGGTTCCGCGAAGGAACTGCATGTTAGAAAGGCCGTGCGTGGTGGCGCGTCATCGTACCTCGACGGCGTGGATCCTTGGTCACAACATCAGTCACTGGATTGTTTGGCCCAGACTCGATTATTTACCGTCGTCATATATCTGGGATATTACTGAGAACATATAGCATACAAACAACCAAGACCCGTAAAGATCCGGGGTAGAATATGTCTTCAGCAACCCATGCTTGCCACAAAAGGCGACTATGCTTGTCGTAAGAGGCAACTAACGGGATCGGGTGGTCAGGCTCGCTCACTTGGTTGACACATGTCATCGGTTCCCAATTGCGCAGATCGATGCTCATGCTGTTGATCACTGGATTGTCTGGATCCAGACTCGATTATTTACAGACCGCCGCCATATAGCTGGAATATTGCTGAGTGCGGCGTAAAACTTAACTCACTCACTCACTAAAAACAACCAAACCTTCATCATGGTAAGAAGAGCGGTTCCGTGGGTTCAGCGTTGCCCTGAGAGAACGAGATCTGATTGAGAAAATGAATAATTGATGCTTTTTTCTTAGCTAGAGGTTTATACTTTGGAAGGCTGGATGTTATGAAGGCAACGCTGTCCTTGAGAACCTTGAGACTGCAATACATATTTAGCTTGAGACATGTGGAATTTACATAGGTAAGAAAAACGTTTACAATCTCTTTTTCTTATAATATGGAAAATGATCTTGAGGATGCAGATGTATATGACTCGACACATTTAAAGCAGCAGCACATTCACACACTGATTGTTGGTAAGATTAGGTTTACTAGGGGTTATCTTGAGTGCAAACACATTTCATAATGACATCATATCCGTATACAAATATATCTACACATCAATCTTACAAGTCAGTCCCCGTATATTATGCTAGTCGGTGCATGTTGTACAAAACAGAAGAATGCTTACAGGTTTTCCATCTCAGGAAGAGATCTGCAAGACATGAACTACAAAAAGTTACCTTCATTTAAAAGATCGTGAATATAAGCACTTTATGTTCATATATTTATATTCTTCATTCCAAAGCAAACAAAAGCTTTTCGTTAGTAAAGTTATGAGGCGATATTAAAATGGTTTGGGGCTGACTCACACGGGATGTTATGTTTACGTGATACATATATCAGTATTGGGTATTCACCATTTGCGGTTCTTCAGTCCTGTGTTGCCGTGAAGATCCGGGTTAGAATTGATCTTCAGTAACCCATTATGTCGTAAGAGGCGACTAACGGGATCGGGTGATCAGATTTAGTTCACATGTCATCGTATCCCAAATTGCGTTGATCGATGCTCGTGCTGTTGATCATTGGATTGTCTGGTCCGGACTCGATTATTTACGGACCACCGCCATGTAGCTGGAATATTGCTGAGTGCGCCGTCAAACCAAACTCACTCTTCAGTCCTGCGACTCTCTCCCTAGTATGTCTTTAAGGTTTCATACTCCTTTCGTATT